GGGCAGAAATCGGGTGGCTCCGGCCGAACCAGGCAGCGGCCTTCCCGCCCCCACCCCCCGAAAATAGGAAGAGCGGGGCTGAGGGCCAGGCCCTTTCGGCAACCGGGCCCCAGTGCAGGGGCAGCGCGGGAAACCCGAGCTCCCCGGGAACGGTTCCCGCTAACAGATAATGTTATTCCTAATCAAGGGGTATGGGCGCGAATGAATTTTTGATCTGTCTTCAGCAGACAGCGTGTCTGGGATCTGAAAAAGGTTTTTCCTTTCCTCCTTACCAGCCGGGCTCCCTCTCTGGAAGGCGGGTGGCGATAGCCCTCCTCAGGGCGGGACTCGGACCGGCTCGTCTGTTGCTGCGGAGGCAGGGCCCAGGGCTTCTCCACCACAGAAGAGGGCGAGCAGACGAAGCCTTGCCGCAGAGGTGGGAGAGCAGTGTTCAAGCCCCTGCTTTGCTTGGAGTGGGAAAGGTTTCAGATCTGCACTTCCCACCTCCAGAGTGCCTGACTCGCTAGAGCGTAAGTTGCACTGGGTGGAGGGACCCTCCCCCTCAAACTGCAGAAGCAAACGTGAGAAGAGTCTAGGTCAAGAGAGAGCATGAGCCTCCTGAGTGTAGCCTGGTGACCAAGGTGACTGCTTAACAGGAGATACTGATTCTGGATCCAGATCCAAAGCGTGATTCTGATTTTTTTTTTTTTTCCTACACAAGGGTTTTAGTATAAAGTATATTCTTTGTTTAGTAGAATGTAGTGGCCACAGATTGCTTTTTATGAGGAACTTTGGGAGTTGGAGCTACAGGATGCAGCCTTGAAGGGGACTGTGGAGACGATTCCAGGGAAGTTCAGAGCTGTGTGAGGGCACTGCTTTTGGACATACACAAAGAAGGAGCTTTAAGGAGCCTAGGGAACTTAGGGGAAACCCTTATTTCCTGTGATACGTAGGCATTTCCAGTATGAGGTTGCACCTGAACAAGGTGGGTTTGGGATCACAGCTTTGGACTTAAAGGACTATAGAGCCATGGAAACAAGCAGGTACTCAACTCCCCTCGAAAAATGAGGAGGCAGGAAATTTGCAAGAATTATGGAGATGGGGTACCACAGTTTCTTTCTGAATCTGCTCTGAGAACCCCAGTAAATATCTCCACATCTCAGTGATGCTAGAAATGGTCTCTCTGCTGAAGGAGAGAGGTTAATCCTGTGGCTTTCCTTCACACTTAATCCAGACTTGCTCGCTGACTTGTCTCTAAGGCACCTGGGCTGGTAGGATAGTCCTTATAAACACCGCAAAATGCCGTCAAAATAAAGTCGGTTGTGCCTTGGGCGTGATGGACTAAATAGTCTCTTGAGCTGCCTTCCATTTCTAGGCATCTATGAATCAAAGAATTGGATTTATGTACTAGTAGTTAGTTATACCAGTACTTGCGGGTTTGTGCATTGGTTAAGTTTTTTTTCGGTTAGGATTTTTCCTCTGCTGTAATATTACCAGTATACCACCTTAGAGGGACCACTAGAAGCATACCAGTGCAAAGATACCATATGCTGATTAATTTCTCTTAATTGGTATAGTTTAAAAGTTGTATTGATATGAACCCCTTTTTGTCAGCATAACTAATTCTACATGAAAATGTTACAGTACTTGAACTATATCCTTACAATTAAAATGGTATGTTCTATGTAGTCAAAATTTAAGACCTTCATGCTCCAGGAGCCCATGTCAAAAAATGTTGTTTTCCTCGTGCCTTAATTTACCATATAAAGGGAGAAGTTTGCCAGGCAAAGTAGCGGTTATAACAACAGCATTGCTTTATATTTTGCCTCACTTTATGTCTTGCCTCAAATAGAGTCAAGATGTACATCTACAAGTATGACAAGGTTGCATCAAGAACAGTGGGGGATCTCCTGAAAGTTTTACTCTGCACAGATGCAGGTTGCTTGGAGGTGTTCTGACCAAAGGAGAGTTTTATTTGATGATAATGGTAGGAAAAGATTTGGATTCTGCTGTTAACCTGTCTTGGAATGGGATTTGCTCCCCAGGCTTGTTGAGATGCTAAACTTTCTAGCCTGTACATTACCTTTGCACTGGCCTGTTTGCTAAAGCAGTGCTTTTTCTGGCACAAAAATCAATGAACCAAAAAAGCTGTGAAGAGCCCCAAAACTCCCAACAGATAAGCACAAACCCGAGATTTGGATTAAGAAAGAAATTAGTTATCTATGTGATTGCAATGGTTTGGGTTTTTTTGGTTTTTGCTCTAGGCCAGGATAAAGCAAGAGAGGGTCAGTGAGTGTTTTATGTTCCTTTTCTCAATGCCTGGTGAAAGCATTTTTCACCTGCTCTTTCTGTTTTCTTTTTTACTGGCCAGCTAACGCATGAACCATGCTGCCTGCTATAAAGTCTCCTTCTAACTGCATACCATAATAATTTTCCACTAAGCCTTCTTCCCCACCTGTTCATTTGTTTCGTCATAACTTTTCTAACACTGAGTAAAGTTATTATTAATAACCACACTTAGAGGTATGCATATGTGCAAAAAGGAAACATGCATTTAAATCTGTACCAAACGTCACAGCGTTCTTAAGCCTTAGCTATCTATCGATAGCTATGGCCAGTACTGTTAAAAACTTAACGTAAACATACGGCATATAAAATTTCTATCAAGACGCCATCAACTCTGCTGCTTAATTAGCTCCACTTTGCAGTTCACACTTTCCTCTTGGACCTCAGTGAAATCTTAGTCAGACCTATCTATGCTTGCTGAACAGACAGATCTGAAGCCCAAGGGAGGTTACTGAAATGTCTGTGACACATTGAGGATGCTGCTAATTCTCATGGGATTATGAGCTGCCTGGGCAAAAAGACAGAACTGCAAAGATTTTGCATGCCTGCCCTCCTAGCATGTGACCCAGTAGGAGCAGTCCACTCTGGTTATAGTGAATTCTAGGATCCACACATCTCCATCCATGATGCAATTTGTCACACGTGAAAAACACGCCTTCCTCCTGTTTTATCTGTGATGAACAGAGCAGTAAATTTGTCCAAAAGAACTTCTGGAGGGGAAGAGCATAAACACACATGCTCTGGAGAACAGGCTGTGCAGCCTACAGAGCATGCACAAAAGAAATGGCCTGGCTGTCTATGATAAAATACGTCTCCAACTGTCTAAGAACAAGTATCGTTTCTCTGTGTCATACAAGAACCGCTTCCATAATTTTCTGTAGATGTACCTTGATACCTATTTGATGAGAGTATCAGGTGTTGAAAGAAGTAAGTGCAGCCTTAGTACCTACATGTTTTTTAGGGAAAGTAATCCAAGTACTGGTTGGGAAGCAAACTCCTTCTGAGAGGAGCAAACAGACTAACCTGAAAACATGCTAAAAATTCACGGTGTTTGTGCCTGGCTGAATTCACGTAGCATGTTTCATATTGCTGCATGGCTAGAAAACAGGAATTACCATATGTGTAAGTCAGGAAGTCTGGAAGCTGCTAGCCCCTGACTGAAGGACTAATTTCCACTGTAGATTGTAATCAAAGGTGCAAAACTGAAATGACCTCCGTGTGAAGCTGTGAAACAAGGCACCTATTTGTAAATTCTTGTGACAGAATTCCCAGCAAGTGCTCTGGAAAAGAAAACTTTCTAAGGGTTGAGTGACAGTGGACTGCTTTGCTTTATCAAACGTGCTGGAAATACCTCTCTCTGGTGTTTTCTCGTGCTTGCTGTTCACAATAGCTGGGATAACAAAAATTGAGGAGCATGTCTTCAAGAGGAAATGGGCATGCCTGTAAGAAGGGGCTATGTGCATGAGAAAGTGTATGTATAGTAGGTACAGGTCTTTATTCTTAGGTTTTCTTGAAGCTGACACTTTACCCCATACCCACCCCCCAACTCCTCCAGTAGTTTTGTGTTTTCTTTTCCTTTTGAAGGCTTTGCTTTACTTCATTATGCAGTCCTCAACTTGACCTCAGTCCTAACAAACAGAGAGCCTCAGTCGCATTTTACTGGAAAGAATTCTCTTCCCCAAGTATATCAACGCTGAACATCTCGCTGGTCACAGGGGAAAGTGGGCACTGGCTGTCACAGCAAGCGCGTTGTAACATGCAACTCCACATAGTGGGGGCTGAGTATTTCCTTACAGTACCAACTTTGCTTTCTGTAGGGAGATAAATCAGTGAAGCTATATTTATTTCCTTCAGGATTATGTCAAGTTGCAGTGTCTTATTTCCCAAAACACCGTGTTAGCCTCTCCTCACATATTTCCACCAAATCTTGGTGTTCCTATTTTTAGACTCTGTTGGAAACTGTTGCACTAAGTTTAGATTGTGCTTAACCAAGCTGATACTTTCAATGGTACATGTGTGCTCTCCATAACTTTTCTTAAAGGACAACTTTAAAAGAATCATCATCATTATATATTAATAGAGCCTTACCGTCTTACTCTTCTCCACTATGGATATTAATCTAACAAAGCTATAATAGGGAGCTACAGTTTGGAAAGGAGACAAAATCAGTTCCGGGCAGGGGGTAACCTATGGCCATAGCATGCTTTTTTATTGTGGCTGTCCCAGAAGGGACATTTAATGAAATCAGACCTCAGGTCTGGTTTCCCGGTTTTGGCAAGGAATAACTGTAATCCAGAACTGATTCTGTTCACTTCAGTGAACACTTCAGTGTTTGGATCTCCTGTGTTACCTCCTCTCCAGTAAGTCCCTATAACTGTGCTGTGAGAAGAGCAACAGGCTTGCTTTGCCTTCCTTTAATTTCTAGGCCATTTTACATATAGCATGTTAGAATGGCATCATGGATGATGATGTGATAAGCTTTGTACGCTGTTTGGGAAAGCCTGTTGGAAGAGAAGGAGAAGAAACAGGAATGAGGGGGATCGAGCAGAAAACCAGATATGACCATAGATTAATTTGGGGGGGAAGGAAAGGAAGAACTAATGACGCTGTAGTTCTCCCTCCCCTGTCAGGATTGTTTGTTCTGTTACACAGCAAAGAGATCCACCATTCGCTGTGCCTCTGCAACCAGACGTGGAGATGGCCTCTGCCATAAATGCTTGGGCAACTTGCTTTTATTTTATTCTGTCATTCACTCTTACTGTGTGATCCGCTTAGCTGGGCTTTTACAACTGAGTCACTCTAAACGGCTGAGGTGCTGAAACGAGAATTCCCTGCAGCTAGTGACAGCAATTGTGCCAGTCACCGGGGCTGTACAGTGCCAGTGTGTCCACTAGAGGACAGTGGCATATACCGGTTAATCAGTGCCTTGTTGCAGCATTCCTGTGCGAAGCTGTTAAATTCTCACCTAATTTGAGATTCTTCTTTATTAAATGCTGTCTAATTCAGAGCTGACTGCCTGCCATATTCAAGTAAGAAGTACTTGGGCTAGATTTTTTTTAAGTGTTAGTTTCTCAGCTTTGTTAAATCATGCATCAATAGATGCCTTTTTGAGATTCGTCTTGTGTTTGTAAAGCCTTTTTACCTGAGGAAGTGGTTTGATTTGCTTGTCTTCTCTCCTTCTGCTGACACACCCTGTTCAAACATTCCCTACAACTGTTCAGAAAACATGCTCGCTTTCACATCTATGACCACCTAGGCTGCTTATCATACAGCCACAGGGAGTCCACACAAGCTGTTGTTAAAAAGCAGGGCTTGGGGCCTGCTGTATGACCCACCCCTAGAGGGAAGCCTGTGTCCTTCAGAGCAGAGAGAGCATAGCAATACCAGCACAACCCCCCTGGCCTGAAGGGAGAAGTTGCTGCAACAAGTCAAGGTTTAATTCAATCAAGTGACCTTTGGGAGAGGTAATAAAGGTAAAAGTTCCAAATGGCCACGCTTGGTGAAATTGCATTCCTGGGCTAATTTGTTACACTGAACCCAAGGTAAGTCACCTCAAAGAAGAGCAGGGAGGCAGCCAACAGGTGACCTAAACGTGCCTTCAGGGCAATAACATGAAGGAACTGGAAGGAGAGAGTTGTTCATGTGGGGATTAACTAGCAAGTAAGAAGGTTCTGCTGTTTCATCTATTACCTGAGCAATTAGGCAACAGATCCTTTTTCTGAAGGAGGTGAGTGCATTCCTGGTGCTGAAGTGTATTTAAATTTATATCACACCAAACACTGCAAAATAACTTGGCATTTACCAGGCTATGAACTCAGTGGCTCCTACCCTTCTATTAGAGAGCACTCCTTCCCATAGAGAATCAAGCTGTGAATATTTTAATAGGTCATCGTCATCAACAGTGGATACTGCAGGAAAATCTTGGCAGGAAAAAGAAACAAGGGTTTAATTGGAGAGGATTAAAGGTGTGTCAATGTTGGTTTTATCTGACACCCTTTCAAATCAAAGTCTACGTGTGTTTGTAGGCAGTTTGTTTCTTGTATAGTTTCTCTAGTTTATCAGTGACTCAGAAATACATGAGTCTCCTGTGAAGTATTAAAGAGGGGCTTAACCTATGCATTGTAAAGACTTGTGCTAATGAGGTTTGAAGCAAAGAAAATCAGATTACTTATCTGTGCTGCTACTTTGCCACTGACCCTGACAATTTAATGGTGATTTATTATTTCTGGCGTGCCTTCCAGGCCTGTTAGCAGAATGCTCTGAGCAGAACTGCCCTGAAGTTTTTAGGAGTCCCTAGAGAACTGCACTGAGAGCCGTTTCCCCACATCCATATCATGTATCAGTCACAGCATGGAGAAACACTCTTATAGCACTGCTGTCTAACCTGCGCCTTTCTTTTACTGCAATTATTTCCTTAGTACAGCATTCAAATCTGTATGCTTTACCTTTCGCCATGACACGTGGGCCAACCTCACACATGTCCTGCAGCATTCTGGGCTTGACTTAGCAGGTTTCTGCTGAGCGTGCTAGTTCCGTGTTTGCTTCGTAATCAAGCATGTGTGGGTAGCCGTGTTCTTTTCAGAAGAGCTATACATGTGCTTAAAGTAAGTATGTGTTTAAGTACCTTGCGGCTTCCAGCCAAAACAGCAAATGCTTGTGCAGAATTCAGTTCTAAACAAGCTGTTCTAAAAGACTTCTTCAGTACATACCAGCCAGCCAGATACTTGACATGTTACTGGGACATGGTGCTGCTTCAAAAATTTTCAAGGAAAGGAGAAAAAGCCAGTGTTAGCACTGGTGATGATTTGAGTCACTTGAGGTTACAAATTTGCCTGTCATGATTATGAAGGGATTAGTGCCCTAGACTTTTATCTCCTCGAGATCCTTCATCCTGTTGTTGGTATGCTAGAGGGAAACAAGTTCTCACTTATGCTTCATATGTCTGCTTGGAGGGGAGGCAGACACCTTGTCATAGTTGTCATATCAGGCATCTTGCTAAGATGGTCTATAGGGCCAAACCAATGAGCTTTGTGATAAACCAATGTCTGTCTCGACCGTGGTTTTATCCCAGAATTGCTTCTGTGCATTTGCTATCTGACATAAAGATACAGTTCTTTAATTGCAGACGAGCTTTTTGGAAGTATTAGAAGCTTTGTGAGAGAGTGCATCTTAGGACTTGTCTGCTTGGTGATTTAGACTAAAGGTGTGAAGCACATGCATAAACTAAAAGTTTATTACATCTGCCATTAAATTTCTTTCTTCAGAGGGAAGATGGCTTTATTTTGTTACATAGCAAACTTTACTTCTGAATGGGAGCATTCACCCTGAAATCTGCATGTATATTAACTTCACACCTTGAGTTAGTGACCTTAAGTTTCCCAAGTGCTGCTGTGTAGCCAAGCTCTCAGGACAAATGGTGTTCCCAGTGAAATAAAACTTGGTACAGCTGATACCAGTGACTTGTAAGCTGGGAGTAAAATGGAAAGCATCATAAATTCATCTGTGCCTTGCAGGCAGGATCATATGCTTTTCAACTGGCATAGCCAAAAATCTGTTTGTACATAGATACCATTCCTTCCCAGTGGTAGTCACTGGACAGATTCTGTTCTACATGCCAATGGTCTATAAGAGAGCAGGTGTTTCTATATCTAACGTACTTCAGCTCTGAACCCAGGGCTGCTATTTTGACTTGGAATCAGGACACATTCATTCCAAAGTCTATGATCCTCACTGCCATAAATACTCTTTTTTTGTTGTTGTTCTTAGTGTTTTGCTTTATTTTAAAGAAAAGATCACCATGATGGTCTTCTGTCTTTGATTCAAGTGACTTTCCATACTCTACCTTTGTGGGGTTAATTATTTCCCCTTTTTAAAAAAGATTGATTACAAAAAATTGCATACAATGTTCAGGACTGAATCTCATTCAGACAGGTGGGTGTCTTGGTACTGCTACTGACTACCTACAGAAAAGGTAAATTTAAGTATGTTTGGGGGATTTATCTGATAAACCTAAAATGCAGGGTTTAAAAAGCAGACTTCTTAGTTGAGTTTGTGTATAGTTTGAAGAATCCCAGTTTTAATATACAGGGAGAAACAGGTAGCATGTACATGCCTTATATCTAACTGAAAAATCTGAAAGCACTTTAGTTAATTAAATTCTCTCAAGCATTGCTGTGAGGTAGGGAAAATACATGATATCCAAGGGTTACATCACTTTTGAAAAAATGTAGTTGCCTAAGGTATTCACGAGTTGCATTTTTTTATTAAACCAGTACCGAGCCCCATTTGTGTTACGTTTGAAGAACTCCCTGTACTACTGAAATGCCAGGAATGGCAGTGGAAAGGCTGGTGCTGAAGGAATGATGGGGTAAGGGGGATTATTCCCAAAATTAAGTTTCAGGATTTAACAGGCTAGGACTTTCTGAACTGGGTGTCTGTTATGAAGCCTCTGTAACCTCTGAGGATCTTGGGGCTCCCTGTTCTTCTGGAACATTAGAAGACAAGTAGTCACAGCTCTGCTTCACCTTGCCCCTAATTCACCTTAGCAGCATATGTCTCTAAGGATTCAGTTTCACCACACAGAGTGAGCAGAAATAGCAGCTTACTGTCACTGAAAGAGGGAAATACAGGTCTCCCATCTCAGCCCTCCCTTTCTCCTGGCTGTGCAGTTTTGCCTCTTATCTTGTACTACTGTTAGCAGTTGTTGGATTCCTCTGAAAGCCAATTTAGTACCCTAAAACAAGAGAAAAAAAGACTTTGCAAGGAAAAAAAAAAAAGAGGTAGTTCTTTTATTTGTTACCACATTAGTAACTAGTGTGATGCAGTAAGAGTGAAACCATAGACCAAGGTGTTTCTTGTTGGATACCAGCTGCCCACTCTCTGTGTTTCAGGATGTTTCAGACTACCTCTGGTCCTAGCCTGTAGATGAACGGCCCATTAGTTGGGCATTCAGGTTGGAGTGTGTTAGGTGTGCTTCTGGAGCACATCTTTCAGTTTAGTTTCACCTGAAACTGTCCGGTTTGTGTGCTTTAAGACTGCTCCACAATGCAAACCAAGTGTGGTAAGCGGGGACAGTCAGGCAATTTGTTCCCAAAGAAAACCCCTGAGCTGAGCTAAAACATAAATAGAGACATGGCCTTAGTGAACTGAATCAGCTCTGTGGGGGAAGGGTATGGCTGCAAAGCTCAACAAGTGGGAATGACCTGCTGTGCTTTGGCAGGCTGTATGTCTGCTCAGCTGTGACCACGCACAACCTAACTGCTGAGATGTTGCCCAAATCCAAGTTCCTAGTGCTTAGCTTCCTAACAGCTTGATGCCAGCTCCGCTTCACTTAAAAAAGCTGACAGGTCTGCAGCAGAAAACTGCATGCCATGAAAAGTGTGAGGGCGTTCAGCTAAAAGCTTGAGTTTTCTTGCTAACTGAGAGGTGAATGTGTCTGTTCCAGAAAATGGTGCAGGTGACCGAAGATAAGCCAGTTTGCAAATAAGCAATCACATTTCATTCATGGATTGGTGCAATTTTGGGCATGCACGTGGTTAGCTGTGTTTGATCTGATCATGCATACGTACCAAAATCAGTCCTAAAAGCATACTTGCCACACCATGCTTTTTGAAAACCGCAGGGTTTGACTCTCAACTAAAGTGGTATCAGTGAAGGATAAGCTCCCAAATGTAAATCAATGGCCAAGACTTTAAAGAAGTCATCTTGTAAGCACCAAAGCTGATGACGCACGGCTTTGTATGTTTTGTATCTCGTGACTGATAGCTACACCTTTGTAATGGGTGTCTGAAATCTTTCAGACGGATTGACAATAGCTTTCCTATGTGTAGATTCTCTGATTTATAGAAATACATGGGTATCCTCCATGACGATAAAGCAGAGTCTCCCTCTTCTGCCTATTTTCATAAAAGTTATAGGACCTAAACATTTTTGAAGGTACCTCCTCCTCTGTCCTGTGTGGCTTCAATGGGCCAACACTCTATCTAGGCACAGGGTGATTACATCAGCCTCATTTCCATAGGAAGCCAGATAAGAACAGGGAGCCAGGGTTAAGCTCCCGAAACTCTATTCGAAGGTGAACCAGAAGCAAAGAAAAAGACATAGTAAATCATTGCGACACCTACCTTTCTGGTACCTGCCTCCTGAGCAGGGTCCCAAACCCTTTCATTTGCAGTTTGTGGGAGGAGACAGGCATTGCAGAACTGGATTGGGATTCTGTACCGCAGAGAGGGAGTCGTTTCCTGGGAAGCGCTTAGGGAGCACAGGCCTCGGTTGAGCAAAGGGTTTTCCAGTCACAGCCATATACTTTGTTATCTGAATTCTTTTATGGATCAAGTTCTAAATTAATAGGTGAACTTTTATAGTTCGGCTCCTAGGCTGCCATTTGTAAACCTATCGAAGGAATTTTGAAATTTAACTGGGACATGGGAAACCAACTTGATTTGGGAGAAAAGATTTACTAATCGAGGTTCACAACAGTCAATTTTCCATTGGATTTTAATTTGCATAGCCAGATGTCCCACATCAGTTTAATCTTCTTGCAGGCATGTTCCCAGTACTGCATTTTGGAGCTAAAAGATTTTTGTGTTTCTTGTAGGTAGCTTAAAGATGGATGCTCCCAAAGAAGCTCAGCCTACAGGAGAGTTCAAATGTCAGCTATGTGGCTTAACAGCTCCATATACGTACTATGGGCAGAAGCCACCAAACACACGCTCTATTGTGTAAGTACAGTCTTTCATATTACAGACTTCATTTATGCTATGAGCATTAGAAGCCTTGTACTGTGGAACAATATGTGCACTGCATGAGCCCAATAACAAGCCATGTTGTCCCTGAATATGAGGCTTGGTACTTAAAGTGACCTTCTTTTTCCAAAGGGAAGAAATGTTAAAAATTGGCAGCATTGATAGCAAAGACAAAAATCAGCTTTCCCGTCCTGCTTCAATACCATGCAAAGATTTGTATTTAACCTATTTCCTAACCCCACTGGCCACCCTACTATTTACCTATACCATAATTTTTTTACTAGAATACTGTTGACTGTCAGCCTAGCATTTCTGGGAATAGCCCTTTCCTCACAGCTGTGTCAGATGGGCAACACGTAAACACAGCATGAATTAAATACATGTGGTAAAACCACTTTTTAAGAGCTGTTTGACATGACGTCGAATTTTGAACAGCAATGCTTTTTTGCATGAATTACACAATTCTTTGGCAGATTGTATGACATTAAAGTGTGTAGAAATTTAGTACATATTTACATTTTAGGAGACTGAAGACTTTTCCATCTCTGCCAAGTAGGGATAGTTTGACCAGAAACTATGCAGTTATGACTTTGTCTGCAGACATTAAACTCCCCATAAAACAAAGCACTTGCTTGGCTTCAAATGTAGGAGTAGCTCTGTTTAGGCCGTCCCAGTCAACAAACCCATCAGGCAAACATGGTCAGGAACTCACTGGAATTGGAAGTCAGACATGTACTCAGCATTTCACCTCACTAAAACTGCTCAATTTCTTATATAATGGAAACAGCTGTTGATGACCACCTGCTTGGGCTGAGATCAGATCTGTTTTCCTTGGGCAGCTGTATTTTTATCATTCCAAATCCCATGGTGCTACTGGTTTTCCTGCTTCTACTCAGCAAAGCAATGGCCCACCCTTGATCAGGTCCATTCGTAGAGTCTGAATCAAAGTTGAATATGCATCTTAACTTTAGGTTATCCAAGCTCAGTGTTAACATCTCAGCTTTATTTGGATTGCTGAGATTCAAAAAGCAAAAGAATGGTGCTGAAGCATAATGCTTCTGTACATGCATATAAGAAATAGCTTTACACACTATCTTTATTGGCTTACTTTCTGGTCTACTCACGTGTCCTAGATGCAATGCTGCAGGAAACATGCCAGACGTGAAGGCTTGTACAATGGCCAGGTCTCTGCACTGATGATGACTACATTAAGACTGTGAATCTTGCAAGGGGAGCTTTGCAAAGGTAATCCAGTCTTTGGACACTAGGAGACTTGTTGACAAGGTGATCTGCCATGTTAAGATGCCTGATCTTTCCTAACAGTGGAAGGCTTGAGCCATGTTTTTGTTTGAGTAGAGAAGAAAAGGAAAAAGGAATACGCTCACAGACACACACATACATATGTGTATATGTATGTAGACAAGGAGAAGGTAGCATGAGTTAACAGAATACCTTTTAAATATGTATTGTACTCCGTATTACTACAGAATCCAAGTTTGATATAAGTCCAAGAATAAGCCAGCCTTGCAGGGTGCCCTGTGCAGACAGACACCCAAGTGACTTCTGTAATATTTTGCCTGGAGCTCCCAGGAAGAATAAGGCCTTAGTCTTTCCCAAGCAGGTTGCCAAATTATTAATAAATGCACTCCCTTAATACCCTGAAGCAAACAGTACAGTCTCTGACATAAAGTAAGAATATTTCAGGTCACTGTAATGTTCTGTGCTAGTAGCTCTTGCTTGCAAGAGGTGGGAACCTTAGCTTTACAGCAGTGACATAACTAAGAGCAGTAAAAACTTTTTATTTTATACTCACATGCACACAGCTTTGGAAAAGAACTTCTAATGAAAAGCTGTGCAATTGTAATGATAGCTTGACAAGGTACTGAAGTTAGCCATGCGAAGGATAAAAATGGAAGATAAAAAATACTTTAAGGTAGAGCACCAAGAAAAACCTAGTAAGACAATATTGAGATGATCACCAATTGCCCTAATTTTGAAAGATAGATAGAAAGTGCAGTATAGGACTGAAGGCAGCCACAGTGTTGGTTTTGAAGAGGAAGGGAGCTGCATAGCTGCTACATCGCCTCATGTACAACACCAGGCTGAGCAAATCAAGAAGAAAGGGCTGATACTTTTTCAGCCTCCACAATTTCCCCATTTCAACTCTCCCATACTGTGAAATCTACCCTTAAAAGCTTGAAATTATCCTCTTACAGGCTTTTGGAAGAAAGCTATGTCATGAAGGATCCTTTCACCCCTGACAAGGACAAATTCCTCATCCTTGGGTCTCATTGCAGTTTGTGTAGCAGATCAGTGTGTGTTGGTACAGTAAGTAACAAGCGAAACAAGCTTTTTCAATCATTTATTTTCGTTCCAGTCCTGGTGATCTGTTAAAGAGAGACCAAACAGCAAAAACCCAAACAGCTTATTTTTAAGGCAAGCTAATTGTATGTTCTTGTTGATTCCCCCAGATAAAGCTCTTCGTATTAAATGAAAATTATTGGCAACTTTAAGTGTTCTATTTACAGATGAGCACAGTCCAGCCTCACAAACACAACGAATGCTCTTTTCCACTTTCTCAGCACAAGAAAATGCAAGGGAGAATCATTTCAAGACCTTTAAGGTTCATTAGATTGTACTATACCAACAGTAGATTTTTTTCCATGAAGGGAATATAAATGTCCATGGATTGTTAGGTTTGCATCCACGGCACAAGGCTGCCATCCTATTTGCAAAAGCTGATGTAGAAAGTGAGCAGGGAGGAGAGTTGTGCAATGCCATGATAGCTGTCCGAAGAAGAACGAGTTTGAGTAGCAGCTGGTAGGCAACCTTAAAACTATGAAATCTAAGTGTGGTCCAGAAAGGTGGTGTAAAATTACAGTTGTCTTAATTCTTTCTCCTCAGTGCAGAACTGGCCCCTTTGTTTGCTGTGAGTTCAAAGCAAAAATGAAGACAAGTTATTACACAATTATCAGTGTCCGGAGGCTGTACTGTGCTTCTTTGAGGCAGTACAATGAATTGAGAAAACTTAGGTTCCACTCCTTTCCCTCAGCAAGCCAGTTCTGTGGTTGAGACAGACTTGGGACTCATGCAGTAGTCAGGACTCATGCATGACTCAACCCATGAGGAGACGTCACCTGACTGTTTACACAGACAAGGGCATGTATTTGTTATACATGACACCATTGCCCTAACAGCAGCCAGATCCTGGCCTTCTCTTTCAAAGTGGTTGTTTGCTATCCTAGAGTAACGTGCTTAAATCTAGAGTGCAGCTAATAGCACGAGCTATTAGCAAGACCACATCTTGGTCTTAAGTGTCAGCTTTAGCAGTTTTCACATTCAACCTTTTCAGCCCATTCTGTAATCGCAGTGGTTAGGGGCCTGCTCCAGTGACACGATCCTTAGTGCAAGTAGCTAGTAGTGGGAGTTTTAAAACAAACAGACCTGCTAAAGACTTTGTGAAGATGTAGAAACTTTTTTTTATGTTTGGTAGCCAGTTATATAGTTCAAAGTAACACCTCTGGCCTCCTCAGAGCATGAGGTGAGATAATCTGGGCAACTGAGACAGCTCATATGCCAATGCCAGACAGTTTCTGTGTGGGGACTTCAGGAAATTCTCTTGAGCAAAACAAAGGGTCAATTTACACTGACAAATTTTAGAGGGTTGGAGAGACACAGGCAAAAGGAAATTGGCACACTTGGACAAGTTTAGCTGCTGTTCTGACTTGCAGGGAGTCAGCACCAAGGATGGATTTGGTCCACTGTCCTGAGAGGAGCGTGCAATAGCACCTTTCTCCTGATGAGGTTTGTTTCCTATTTCTGAAGTCTCTTCTGTCATTTAAATGAATGAAAATCACCAAAAGGTCAGACTAGAGATTGCGACTGAGATTTTTTTCTTTTTTTCCTTTCTGGAACTACCTGAGGACTACGTGGGAGTCAGATGAAATGCCAGTGCTCTCTGGTTACGTCTTTGATAGCTGGGCTCAAGTTTCCAGAGCCAAGTAGCTCACGGCAGTTGTGTGGAGGCAAAGCTCACATGTGAGCAAGATCTTCCTAGTGACAATGTCCCTGTCTTGGCTGATAGTTGACTCACTCTCACGCACAGCCAGAGGAAGAGGCAAGTGCAGCTAGTCAGATAGTTTGGGCTTATGAGCTTGATTCCTGCCCTGACATGTCGGGTTTATCCCTCCTTTTTAACTGCAGAGGATTAGCAACTCAGACACATTTTGGGCAAACTTGAGCACTTGTAGCTATTTTCATTCCCAAATGAAGTGTCTTGAATTTATGAAGGATTCAACAGATATTTCCGAGTCTGGCAGTTAAATCTGTCAGAAATACAACGCTTCAGCCTCTCAGTATCTTTCCACACAGTGTGCATTTCTGAATGAAGGTGGGGCTTTTTCTTTTAAAAGATTTATTAATTGTTTCAGTTAACCTAGGGCATGGCAATGTATAGAGGATATTAGCAGTGAGCTGATAGAAGCCTCTTCTAATCTTTTTGACATTCCTGCCTATTTTGCCTATTGTGGAAATATGTCAATCGTTTACTTCTTGTTATCTGAGTCTTCAAGACTCCCCTGATGGTATCACTCAAAGCAAAACCTTGATTGTAAATAATTGAGAATACATTTCTTACCAAACTGGCTAGGCCAGATAGTGAATCACACATATGGCTATGGTTTCAAAATGTATTTAGCAATACTGCTTAGGTAACATTGAAAGAGATCTGCAGAAATGATAAGTGCTTTAAACACCCACACCACAAAGTAGGTAAACACATACTATTCCTCTTTCATGTAGGGAAAATTAAAAGTCCAGAGAAGGAAAAACTTATCCAAGGCAGCAGAGAGAGCCGAAGTTAGGATAGTATCTCTGTGGATTGGTTTTGGTTCCTGCTTGTGCTTGACCCAAGTAGATCAACTCAGCCCTGCGCTGTTTCCATAATGTTATAACATAAGAATTGAAGCTGAAGAAAATCATGCTTTTTTGGGCTTCTTTGGCAAAGAAGCCGGACCAATTTGATGGAAAGTTTTCAGTGCCAGGTTGCTTTCATTTTTATGTTAATTCAAAATAGTACTAGGCTAACCTGTGGCAAAATTAAGACTTTTCTGATCTTAGATTTGGCAAAGAGATTGGATTTAATTTGCTAGCTTTTGTATCTAAGGAGGCTTAGATACAGGTCAGATTTTAGGCTTTTCATGAGACAACCCATGCTAGCTGAAGTGTCTTTCCTTATAGTTGCTGTGCCAATGAAAGTCAAGATTTAGCAACTGCTCTGTATAATGCTCATAAACTCACTTCTTCAAATATTCTCTTAAGCCTCACTCAGTTAATTTACCCCAGTCGGCTTGCAGCGTACATCACCCTACTGAACCACTCTTTAGCACAGTGTATTGGTAAGTGCCATTATTTCTGGTCCAACTGGAAATAATTCTAATGATTATCTGCAATGTCTTAAAACATGTCAAAACCTCACAAAAGGGAAGATAATAAAAATGCTTTTAAAAGTCCTTAGGAAGGTTGAGTGCCTTTCTTCCTGTTTCCCTTTCAGAAAAAGGGAGAGGAAATGATATAATCTGACCGCATTAGTCATTTAAAACAGTTATGTCTTTTTTTATTGCAACACTTACTAAACAGAGGAAAAGAAAAGAGGTGGCTTTTGGAGAAGAAAGGAGGAAAGAGAGCAAGTTTCATCCCTTATTGCTCACCTCAGCAGAAGGTGACTAAACACTGACCTTGGACATGATTGTAGGTAAACGTAATACTACAGCTACTTTCCACTCAACTTCCAGTCATGCGGGGTCAATCCTGGGCACGGTTAGGCAGAACCTTTCCTTTACACAGAGTTTCCTTTACAAGTGTGGTAACGATACTACCCCTGTATATATTACTTTCAGACGTGATCCATGTCAAAACAGAAATAAACTCTGGCAGCATGCTTTGGCAGCTCAGTTTTGCCTGAATTGGACTATTAAGTTTGAAATTGAAATGGCCCCCTCCTGCCTTGGTCATGGAAAGGGTGAAATGTACTGAAGAATTATCCGATTAAACACAGAACCCTATCAGGATAATGTTCAAAGAAGGGCTTGACTATACATAGTAAGTGTAATTCGTAGGGTTTTAAAACAACAGCTAGGCTGAATAATCCCACGACAGAGAGGAGGACTAAGGGTATGTGGACGCAGCGCCCAGATGTGCAATGGTTCATATTCATGATTTGCGTAACGCCCATTGGCCAAAATCAGCAAAAGTTGGCAACTCATTTCAGCTAAAAGAATGCTGAAAGGACCTGTGTATCAGTGAGCGCTGTGTCTTAACATCGGAGTTCCCCATCTGCAGAATGGGGGAAAAGCCTCTCCCCTCCTTTGCCATTGCCCAGTGGTGCAGCATCCATCACTGCGGAGCCATGAATTTAACCTGGAGGCAGGGGGAGCTGTGTGCCATTTTGCAATACAAACAAGAATAGCAGGGCCAACTTAAACTCTAATCTTCCCTTTTTAATTGGCAGCTTAAAGTATTAAGGATAGCAGGAGACAAAAAACAATAGGCTCTAGAGGTTGTGCAACTGAAATCCAGTTTCAGGGCTTTTTGGAGACCAAGGCCTCACACTAGCTCTGAATATGAAGGCGCCTGGCAGTCAGTGCAGAAAAGGACAATAGATGAAGAGAAGTTGTTCCTCAGGCTTGAAAGTCACACAGAAGCAGGCTGATTGTGATTTTGATACAATCATCTGCTGAATCTACTGCTGAAGTCCAGATAGTGACATGGGAGACAAAAGCAGGAACAGAAACACAGAAATATCCAAGCCAAGCCCCCAGAGAAAGGCCAGCCAGAAATGACCATGCCAAGAGGAAAACTTTGCTATTTAGGTAAAACGCATGGAATCCATTACTCCCCAAAAGATGTCCTGATCCATCTAAACTGATGTCTTCATTCATGCTTAAATCCCCAAGAATAATCCATCAGCAACACCAGCTCCAGCTTACCCATTAAATCCTATTTGGAATTTAGTGATCAGCACGCCAGGAGAACCATGGATTTCAGTCTCGCCGCAGGGCAAAGGAATTATACATTAATAAGCTTCTCTTCCAGTTGTCCAAACTCTATACTGCAAATAGATTAAAATATTCCATCAGTTTTGCTTCTTCCTATTCAATAACTAACATCTGGTTAGAGCTAACTGGTTGAAAAATAACCACTTGTTACTTGAAAAGTAACACTTGCTAACCAAACCAACTGTGACTGAAACATGTCGGATCGTAGTGTCATTCCATTTCAAGGGCAGGGAAAATACTACCTTTGTGCACAACAGCTTTTATACTTTGCCATCAAGAATTCAGAGAAGAGACATCAGCTCAAGCTTTAGTATCATGTATGTTTTTAATCAGCAAGTACATTTATTCAAAGTAAAGGTGGGTAATGGATGAAATCTCAGTTGAATCATCTCAGCCAAATTAAATTCATTTAGCTATTCTGGTTATTGGACACCTCTATGATATTGATATAATATTTATACTTTTTAGTATTCTCCTAGGGCAATACAAGCACACAGATTAATAGAAAGAAGAGTAGTTTTTTGGGGAGTTACAGAAAAAGATGCAGCTAAAGTCTGTGAGAACCTACAGCCTCTGGCCTGTGTTCTTTGTACTTGTGTTGGCCTTTAGGCTGTTTTTATGGAGGTTGGCAAGGAAGAGCGTTCTGAGACGAGTCTCACATACCGGTGCAGGAACTTGAAGATTTCTCCCTCTTGGGAGGATCTTCCATAAGCTAAGATTTAGTTTTAGAGGAAAACTTTGCTATTTAGGTAAAATGCATGGAATCCATTACTCCCCAAAAGATGTCCTGATCCATCCGTACTGATGCCTTTATTCATGTTTAACTCTCCCAGAACAGTCCATCAGCAACACCAGCTCCAGCTTACCCATTAAATCCTGTCTGGAATTTAGTGATCACGCCAGGAGAACCATGAATGATGCTTGAAGGACAAGCCAGTTGTAAGGAAATGTGTTACCGTTCTCTGTAGCAATGAGCTGATGAAGGTCACTTCTTTAAAAGGAGCAACATGATAGTTGATTTGGTTAGCGATGGTTACAGACCCAGGTTTTATTTTTCACCCAGTTAGCTCTAACCAGATGTTAGAATTATTGAACAGGAAGAAGCAAAAATTGCTGGAATATTTCAACCTAGAAGAAGAATTTAATTTAGAAGAATTCTAAATATAAATGTGGTTTAATGAGACTGGAACTTCAGCAGTTCCATTTTGTGTATCCTGCTAATAATGTTATTTTCTTTACAGGAATGTAGTCTGTTCTACTCCAAAAGGTTCTGCCTCCCCTGTGTGAATGAAAACCTAAAGGCCTTTCCTTTGGAAATACAAGAAGATATGGATAAAAGGAAGCCTCAACAAAAATCCTTCCCCTGTAAAAAACCAGATACACGAACATAAATACTGAAGGACCAAGAGAGACAGTTCTTTGGCTGGGGCTTCTCCTCTCTCCGTTTGGAGACTATCATGTTGCTCCTTTTAAAGAAGTGACCTTCATTAGCTCAGTACTACAGAACACAGTAACACATTTCTTTACAATTGGCTTGGCTTCAAACATCATCATGCAGCGATTGCGGTGCCAGCAGTATGGCCTTAAGGTGTTGAAGAGCCAGAAAGAAAGGCAGACAAGCCTGTTGTCGCCACGTAAAACACATGTAGGAAAAAACTAAACAGCATATAGCATAGGAACCATGTCCAAATTTCCACATTTGTTATTTTAATGTTTTGTGTTGTTCTTGACACTCCTACAGTGTTATGAAAAATCCGAGACAGATTTATCTGGCTTAATTCAGTATACATCCCAAGAAAGTCAGTATACACTAATTATTAACCTGACAGTGCTGCCCTGATAAGATTACAGGAAGGAATTCAAAGCTTTACTTTTAAGTCTAAAATAAAACTGTTATGAGAAAATGTCAGAGACACCCATAGAAATATCTAGATTCTTCAAGATTATAATCTCAATACTGTCACTGCATTAAGACTTCTGAAAGTAGGTGCTCTTGTAACAAAATACCAATATAATAAATAAATTTAAAAAAAGATACTCAAAAGTCACTTGTACTTGCAGTCACTTTCCACTCAATCTTCCAGTCCATGTCAATACAGCAACAGGAGAGCACCCTTAATACATCTAGTTTATGCTTTACAAGTAAAGACGACTTCCTTTTCACTTTCACATCAGTTAATCTGGAAATGGAAAAGTTCAGTTAATAAGCTCAATTCTTTCCTGAACTGGGCAATTAAACTGCCAGGATAGGCAGGGGTTTCAGAAACATAGTTTCAGTCAAAAAAGGCTAAAAAATTGTTAGGCAAACAGCAGTTTGTGTAGCTCAAAAATTAGCTTCACAATTTTCTGTGTTGACTTTGTCTTAATTACAAGGAAGATTTAGGTGACATTTATGTAAAACCACTTAGTCACACACCTTAAGGCTATGTCTAGAACGCTTCCTAGTCACCAAATCACGTTATTTACTCAAGCTATTGTTGGTCATTGGTTCAGAACCTCTTAATGCCTTGGTGAACATCTCTTTTCTCAACTCTTCCATCCATATCATTTGTCATATGTCAACATCTAAACTTGACCATTTCAGTAGAATGAACCGTGTGTCTGTTAAAAGAAATCAACATTATTTCAATGAGTTACTCTTAGTTCTTTAAGATGTTTGAGTGTCCTAAAATCTTCCTTCTTTTTTTCTGAACCTAGTATATTGGTGTCCTCTCTTGAGGACTGGAATTTCTTGCAGTTACTAGAGGAGCAGTAATGGACCTATTAGCACCCTTTTCAAGCTCTAGGTGCTTTAAGACATAAAATACATATACATCTTTAACTGTGGGGAAAAAAGATACGTGTTAGAAGTCAACATTTGAGATTCCTTTTTGCAGTAACAAGAGACTACGCTTTCAAAGAAAGTGATACTAAACTTCTTTAAAATGGGTGGTATTAAATTTCAGTTTCATGTTAGACACACTGACTTTAAAAGTCGTAGTGTATCTGTCTGCTCTGTACAGATAACAGAGGCATAACCTATGCTAAAATCACAACTGTAAAGAGAATGAGAGATGCTAGAAAGAGAATCACAGCGCTTTTCCACCTTAAAAATTGTAGTCTTATAATCAAGCTGATAAAAAGCAACATAGTTACATGAGATCACATAATATGTTTATACCAGCAAATGTCTTTCTAAAACATTTTATTTCCTGTATTTCACAATGTTTGCAACAGGTTGTCTTAACTCTCAGCTTGAAAGTAGGTTTTAAAAGCCTGGCTCATGCAGTTCCCATCTAAATGAAAATGTGCCTTTCGGTTGGATGACACGCAAGTCTGTCTTGGGACTGGGAGATGCACCCACTAATGCGCTGGGAAGGATCTAGTGTCTCTGAGCTGTTTTCCCTCCTGTTCAACCTCCTCTGTGCCCTTTAAGAAAAAGGCAGTTAACTAACTCATTTATTCATAATGATTATCTTTGCCATCATGATATGATAGAAGAATCATTGAAAGCCCTCAGAAATGACCCCACCTTTAAGTACTTGTTAAGTTGAACTGGAGGAGGAGTAGACTCAGTATTAAAAGGGAGCAGAATCTGTAACTACAGAATTTTTCATTTGGCCCAGTACAGCTCATTTATTTATCTCGAGTACAAGAGAAAAAGCCAAGTTAAGGATACCTGTGCTTCACAGTTACCTGGTTACGCATACCTTTTAGGTGAAGAAAAGGGTACTTCCAGCAAATACCACAAAGTGGTTCAGTAGCCCAGGGCCGTCAGATATGTTCTGTCATCTCTGGTCCGTGCTGTAGGGAAAGAAGGCTGACCTACATGCAATTTGGTATTTCCTGGAATGACAAAGGATTATTATCTGTGCCCAGCTGTTAAAACTTACTTATTCCACATTCTCATATTCCCATTGAACATGAGCATTATGATCTCTGTATCGTAACGTTTTGGTATATATGTGATTTCACAGACCAAATGCCATCATGCCCAAACTTACCAGCCATGAGGCCTACTCTTCAAGATACGCACAGCCTTTACAGTTCGGTTTCATCAGGTTCTCCGAGTACTTTCTGCTGCTCAGAATCAGGCCTTCAGTGCTCCTGAGCACAGCTGATGAGGAAATGTGATTCTTCATCCTCTGCTGTAATTTTCCCTTCAGCACTCTTACCAGCTTAATAAATCCCCAGGTTCTTGAAGGAAAACAATTATCCTCCCAGCCGATTTAACTGAAGCCATGCTCATCAAATTAGTTAGTATGCTACACTTCACGTAGAAGTGCATTCAATGCTCATTGAATTCAACGAATGTCTCAAGCTGGTCATACAGTCAATGAGAATGGAAAGACACAGCAGGACGGTGGGTCAGCAGACTAACTGATGAAATATCTATGTAAATATATATGCAATGTATATGTGTATGTTACACACACATTCCTAATTTAAAAGGTGTGTCTAACAGTAAATCTGTAAGCATGAGCACTTTAAAGATGTTTCAAATATCATTCCACCTTTAATACACACATCTTATTATGTAGTAAACATACTTAATACAACTTGTTAACAGATATTTGACGCTAACCCAAAAAAATCTGGGCACCAATCCCACCAAAGGTTGCTTATCCACTCTTGTTCACTACTGAAAATCAGCATGATTACTCCCCGGTATAAAGTTAAGCAGCTAAGTGTTTTCTGAAGCAGGGCTTTGTATACCAAATTAAGGCAAATCGGGTTAAGGCAAAATCATTCAAGTTCTTAATTACAGTGGAGCAGCACAAAACACAGGTTCGTGCCACTGGTACTATCGCGGAAGGAGCAACGGGTGTCACCATTCCCAGGTGCGCCACCACCCTGCACTCCCCAGGTCCCGATTCTGCAAACATTTACACAAGCTATCAGTTGAGTCGTAAGTGGTTGTACAAGAGCGCAGAACAGAACTACTTTCCTGTACATAAAAGCTATTCATGCGTGCACGGTCATTGAATGAGGGACTCGGTTAAGACTTGGCAGCTGCTTTGGATAACGTACAAGAGGCAGCCAGCAGACGGTAACAAGTATGTTTGTTTTAAAACCATGACATTACAGTGAATTACTTTCCTGGAAATAAAAGATCAGCACAAGTCATTAAATTCACTTTTAAAAATACTTTATTTTCTTTTTAAAACCATTAAGGCAAAACCATATTTCAAATTAACTGTGTTTACATTCAATCTTAAAGGATGACTTTTTTTTTTTTTAAAGCACGTAGGTTCCTACCAGTCTCTATACAAACACTATGAATTCAACCTCTTATTTTTAAAGGAGACGGAAAAAAAATCAGAATGTAAAAAAGAAGAAAAAAATGTTTAGTTCAAGTTTTTTTCATCCTAGATCAGTAGGCTGGTAACATTTGAGAATGCATCATCATATTTAGCTATATGTAATTTTTACATTCACAAGTGCAAGAGACTTTGTCTTTCCTATAAATCCCTGTGAGACCAGGGCTTCCATTCTTTTTTGAAAATGTCATTTGCATTGTTCTGACAGACACAAACTTGGGAACTTGGCTTGAATTAGTGGCATTTTACTGGGAAACAAGCATTCCATGAGAATTAAGTTTGACTACTCCCTGCAAGAAATGTCTGCTCTTTCTAAGTTCCGTATTCACTGTAATAAAACGTACCCAAAAACTAAAAACATAGTCGACTGGAAACAATGGTAGGTTTTTTTTTCCTCTTTAATATTGATACCTGGAGTTAAACACTCGTTAGCTCTAGTGATTAGGGTTTGGCAACATTAACAAAAATGTGCTTTTTTCTGTCATATCAGATGACAGACAATTTAAGACGTGATAAAGGGTTTTAACATAATGATGTAATTAAACTCTTGTGTTACATTCCTAAAGAAAATTCAGAGCAATTGTTTGTAAAAGCTGTGAAATAGCGGGAGCAATATGAAATGTAGCTCATCCGAGAAGCTGATAAAACAGGCTTTGTCAAACAGTTAAGAGGGGTGTTCCTGTTAAAATCCGTAATATTAAAACGTTGATTAGATTTGTTACTGCTAAAGAAATAACTAAAGCCGTAAGTGTTCTTCCACTTCTGAAACCAGAGGAAAGTATTTGTGGCTACTGAGATGGAGCCATGGCTTCCCGTATCCACCTGTCCCACAGGATTCATTTCCCAGGGGAGGGGGATGAATGATTTGATCAGAAGCAGCTCCCTCCCACTATCTGCACAAATGCCACCGGCAGAAGAGCCCTAGCAGTCTGCTCAGTAACCGTCTGCCGAACGGCGCTGCTGGTGAGTGCCCGTAGATACCTGTCTGAATACGCACATGGCACCGCGAACAACTCTGTCACTAGCAGGAAGGCAAAGGCACTGTGTCTCCATGAAGGCAACCCTACGCTACCGTGTGGCAAAATACACCTAGAGTATCTGAAAGTGCCAGAGGTAACAAAGTGTGGATTTGAACAGCACTCTACGTGGTTATTTGCATATGAATCATCCACCAGAAGATTTGCTAACCTTCTTACGGTTCCTGTTGCACATCACAAACAGATTTGGAATGATTATACTGCACTCCTACGCAGTAGGAGTAGAATGCAGTACTTGCATGTTGCCAATATTTTGGTTGGTTAGTACTTTCCCATACCACCAATTTTTTTTTTTTTTTCTTTCAAGTGTAAAGAACGCCATGAAACTTCTTGCATTGATCATAAGGCTGGTGTCTTTTCCACAATAGGGATTACTGTACCTGCATATCCAACCTGAGAAAATACACCAAAATACTTAAAAACAACTTCAAGTACCTTATGCTTGATCTTGCAGTCCTTATTTAAAGCCCAGCCTGTAATCGGATTAATCTCTTCTGTGCATGCAGCCTATCCCCTGGGCAGAGGCAACTCATCTGAAATTGAGGTCCTTGCAATAGGAATTCTGTTTTGAAACATCCTTGCAATGGAATCTGACAAGATCAACTAACACAATAAAGGAGTTAGAGAAAAAAAAAAAAACAAAACAGCTTCAGAAGCCGAAAAAGATTTAAAAAACCCAACTGTAAGCACTTTAGAGAAAACAAAAGAGGAAACACCCTTGCCCTAGGATGAGTTTAGTTAACAATTTGTATCACATATTTACAGTGTAAAGTGACATATCTGTTAGTACCTTTTACAGGGTTTTTTCATTGCTGCCTATGAAACTGAGAAAAGAAGTAGCTGTAGGTTACCACACAAAAGTCCAGTAGAGCTTTTACAAATATGACACAAAACATCTTAGTTTTGTGTATGGTGACACTGATCAAGTGAAAATTTCAAGTTGCATCGATTGGGGGAAATAAAACTTTATCTATTACAAATAAAATGCAGTAAGCATAAGTCATTGCTGGAACATTTGTGATATACTGTGCTTGTACTAGATGCCATGTTCTGACTACAGCAAAATAAAAGGTATACCTTTAAAAGGTAACTTTGTTCCTATATCAGGATTCCTTAGCAGGAATGCTGTAGGCACAGACTGTCACATCTGAATCACAGCACACAGAATCCCTATGAACAGATTCTGAATTAATCTCTACTTAAAATCCTAAAGGGAACACTCCCATAGAAAAACCAATAATGGCATTTCAACCGTTTGTTTTGCACTGCCAAATTACATATTTTAAAATACATCTACAAAAACTGCAGATCAACCCCAGTGCAGGTAGCATGAAGTAATCCTGAATACACATTGTTATTTCTAGTAAGCCACAAGTGAGTTCCTCAGAAAATATCAGTAATGGAGTACTAACAGACTGTAGATCTTTTTAGCTCTCAGACTTTTAAGGAGAATGAACTACTGTGCTGTAAAGCAAAGATGAACTTAGTTCTATAACCTATCTTCCATATTGGTGAACTTGAGTTAAACCGTTAAAAATATTAACTCGATTTTGGGATTACAGCTCTTCCTCACCTAGACTTACTTTTATTAAAATTAAATAAAAGGAAGTCTATGTTCTCTGTGAAAATGTATTTTAAAATTTTGTTACGGTTGTCAATACCAAACACTGATAAGTTGCAGAATTTATGATACTTCTTCACAAATGATACAGTAAGAGACCAGACAGGAATAAATAGCAGTTTGTCTTTGACTTCAGGCCCATCATCCTTACCCCATAAAAGTAAATCTTTCTTCACTGTACAAAAGGGTTCACAAGATAAAGTATGAAACAAATATTTAAATTAAATAATTTACATAATTTTCTTAAAGCACCTCTGTAATATAATTTAGTGAAAGTTTATAGCTTGCAATTATATTCTTGTATTTTACAAATTGAAACATGAAGAAATAGTATTACATTAAATTAAAAAAATCCCACAATACATAACAATATCAATAAACTTAGATCAAACCCACATATAATTTAAATCTCTAGTAAAAGAAGGATAATAAAGCTGATTAAACCTAGATAAAAAAAAATATATGCAACTGATTATCAAGAAAGCACTTGAGATATAAACAAGCACCAGATACTACACTACACCTTACATTTCAACACTTAATAAAGGATTAGGATTTTCAGGGACGGGCCGTTATTTGTAAGACCTTACGCTTAAGCAATATCACAACAGCTGCAAATGCATTTGTTAAATGTAGTTGCAGATTTTCAACTAAGTAACAGGGATGGATGCTTTTAAGGAGAGACAGAGCTGAAATTGTTCCTCTTCAGACACAGTACAGGCAGCTACAGTGTAATCTTCTCCAACTGCTTTGCCTGAGATGGTGCGTAAGTTGTCCAGGCTTTCCATGAGAAATAAGGAGGAAATTCAAATTTAATAGTATGTGACCCAGCTCTCGTGATGAATAAATCTCCCCAAGTTTTAGCAGTTTGAATAAACAAACAAATGTTTAGATGCTTATTATAAGCTTTTTGATTTGCAAACTTGTGCTAGCTCTCTCATGAGAACGGACTTAGTGCAACTGCTGGTATTTCCTAAATCTGTGCGGGCCAGAAATAATGCAAAAATATGCTCTTTGGCAACACTTCAGCTTTCTAGCAGCTGGCTAGAACCAAAGCACAAAGGCACATGGAAATGGCAATTAAATAAAAAAGGAGATTTCTTTAAATGTGAAGAAAGGCTAAATTTCTGTAAGTGGAAAACATTCCTATCTGTTGTCTGTCAATTTGTGTTTAAAATAAAAGTGGGATTCTGAAATTTAAAAAGGTACAAAGTAACTGATTTTTTTAAACAGCAGTTGTGTGCTGTTACACCAAAGACAGTACACCTTTAAAGAAAATATTTAAGAAGGAGATAAAAATGAACATCAGGTTTCCCTAACACTTGATGCAAAACCTTCCTTTTTTTTTTTTTCCCCCTTCCCCTTTGTCAAAGTACCTGGGGCATCCCAATAAATAACTAAAAAAAACCCCAAACAACCCTCAAAAATGAGTAAGCTGTAGGTTTGTTGAAAAATTAAGTCGTACCATTGTTTCCTAGGATTTTTCTCTATCCATCTGTTGTCTCTTGTCTTAAGCTGTTTGTGGGTACCTGGATGCTAACCAGAGTTCTTCGGTGCTATGGTAGTAAAATAAGTTATGTTGATAAGAATCAGATCAAAACTATACCTAACAAGCCAGTAAATCTTTAATACTTTTTTAATCCTAAAAACTGATCACTTTATTCTCTCCATAGAATGGGCATTTTAAAATATTAGATGATCTGTACAAGGTGGAGATGCTGAAGGCTCCTCAGTAATATATCTCAAACTAGTTCAGATTGCAAACTTCACAAAAGAAAATGAACACAGAGTCATTTTGAAATCTAATTGGCAAAAGCCTGCTGCAGTCACCTACTGAAGTAGCTAATGTACTTCATTAAAAGTGTAATGTAGCAATTAAGAACTTTTGCCCATTAACACTCAGGAAGTGAATTGTCAGCCCTGTGTCGTTCTTTGAAGAGACTGTGGGTATGTGCACGGTGCAGCAGTGCGGGCAGTGGAATCTATCCAGAATTTTAGGCTATGTTAACATCTTGTTCATATTTCTGTAATTCAGAGATGCGTTCTTTCCTTTTTTTTTTTTTTTTTTTTTCCTCATTAAAGGCCTGCAATTTAATTTAAAACAGAAATCAAACTTCAGGGTCCAAGGAACTAGTCAAAAAATACTTGCTGGTTTTCAAATAACAAAACAAAATGGATCCGGAACAGGAAAACTGCAAATTACGCACTTTCCTAATGCCAATAATAGGAACCTGTTACAAGCAGCTGCTAATATAGCTAAACATTATGTCTTCCACTGAATGATGCTGTTTTCAGTTCTTTATAGTTTTGCTGAGAATTTAAGTCTTTATTATTAAATTTTCCATGTTTTTTAAAAGTTTCAGTAAAGTGTTTTAGCCACTTTTGAGAACAGGAGCAGGAAAAAGAGTTTTTGTCCACACTAAAAGAGTTTTTGTCCATGCTGGCTGTGTCTGATTTTCCTGAGAAACTTCAGCACACCCAAACTATGGAACACAACTTTGAAATTTGCCCTTTGCATAAATATGAGGTTTGGGGGGAAAAAAAATTTTGGCTTATACTTTTTTTAGAAGATAAACTTAAAACAGTTGGCTATTAGAGTTTCAGTATGCCATCACAGAATGCCTGATATTTTGACAATTTTTTTGACTAAGCAGTATTGCCTATCAATTATTTCAATGCTCAGTGTCTTATGCCTAAACCCCACAGCTCCTTAGCAAAACATGGCTGACTTGAAGAGTAAAGCAGCATTATTGCTAAACTCTTCGTTATTTCTGAGGGCATACTACGTACTGCTGTAAGACACAAAAGACAACCTATTTCTCATCTCCTGTTTCCTGGTAAGACCAACAATCTTCTCTTAATGAAGCGTTAGAAGTAGCTGTAACGTAAGGCCTAGTCTTCCTGTTGCTGACTGGCGACAGGGAAGGGGAGACAGTTTTATGCACATACGTTTATTGTTTCTATCCTGCCCCAGCTGGTCACCAAATTTGAGGCCTATGCTTCAATAGTTTACACTAAATATATCTGACACTAAAACCTCTGCTTATGACCATCGCCTGGATAAATACCAAATTGCTTTTAAACCTGTAATTTATCCAGTGTCTAGCCATGCCAGCAGGCCTGTAAAGAAACAAACATTGTGACTAAAATAAGAATCATCGTGTGATGTTCTCACCTCATCGATCTTACTTAATTCTTGCAGTGAAGGTTTAAGATTCTGAAGTCTTCAAACGTGCTACAATAAAACAAGTACAAAGTGTCCTCCTGTGCCACTGAAAGCTTATCTATTGTGAAAATGCTAAGATTGGCTGCCGAGATCTTTGTTGTTATGAAACAAATAGTAAAATAAGGAAATAATAACGTGAAGTTACCATATTAAAAAAAAGGAAAAGAAATAGCACAGTGTCTTGCATGCAGCTAGCACTTTTGTGTAGTACTCTCTGATAAACGATCCTGCAAAATGGCAAAGTCAAGCAGTTTCCTTATAGCTCATTTTGCATCAGGAGTAAGTACTATTGTAAAATCATAGTTAGCTCTCAGGAACATGATAAACTTACTGTCAACTGTGCTGTCTTTCATAATATTACACAATTGACACCTACCAACTCTGTTCTTGGTAATATTGTCACTTTATCCACTATGGCTGTAAGGACAAGGACAAAATTTGGTGACATAATCTACCTAATACTTCTACTGACAAGGCCTAGGAAGGAATAGAAAGAAATCTATCCGAGTGGATAACTGGGAAAAAATGAAACAGTGTACTTATTAGAAAAGTAAACAGGTCCAAACAACTCTATACTGCCAAGATACTTGCCAAGAAAGAAGGTGCCTTTCCTATACAATCATTTCTTCAGAGTAAGCTGTCACTGCACTAGAATGCTGTGCAATTGGAATTCTTTTTTCTGGGCTAGGATCAGATTTTTCAGTCTCTCCAAATGTCTTGCTAATTCAAAATAGTATTTTTAAGTTCAAAACTGCATCTTGAGCTATTACAAGTTCTCCAAAATACACATGGTATGATACATTTTTCCTCACAGACATTTTCATATTTCCTTAAAACACTTTTGCAAAAAGGGTTCCATCGCTTTATCACATTTACTCTTCAAGAAACACCTGAATGGAGCATCTCTGCTGTATTTTAGATAACTCTGCAGATTTGATTTCATTTCATAAGAGAACCATCTTTTAAACATGCTAATCCTAAGGTATACTAATGTAATACTATATGAAGCTGTACTGCATTTCATGGAATTAAAGCAGCAGCGGATCAAAGTTCTTTCAAATTTTTTAGAAGTGTATGTACAGTAATGTCCAACCATTTGATGCGCCTAGACTGACTGCTGTAAGAAAAAGTGTTAGTTGGTTCTCGGTAATTACCATTAGCCAAAAGTGGATAATCTTTATGATTGTGCATACACCTGGAGAGAATTTGCTGAATTTGTTATATTAATTCTAAAATGACTAAGCCAAGAGGAAATACGATTTTGTTCATTTCTGTTACTTAGCATTCTGATTTATTGTACAAATATGTATTCCTTACCAATCTTCAATTCTCCAAATAAAAGAACCATTGTAAGACACTTCATGAGCACTATGATCAGTATTTTTCTGCAGAACTGTTTCAAAAGATGACAAAAGATCCCAAACCAAAAGCGGTGTAACACTCCAGTTACCCAGCTTTTAGATTTTTCACGCTCTGGACTGAGTGAACAGCAGATAACTGTGCAAGTAGTTTTGCTCCCATCTGTTATTAGTATTGCTCGTCTTTAAATATGGTGGAAAAAAATACTAAAAAATCCTTAATACATATCCCTGTAGATTTCCTGTAGTAAAGGGTGTAAATGTGCATCAGATTCAGTCTTCTTAATTATCTGAACAAGTTGAGCATGCTCTGTGACAAGTTGTCGGAGGTCAGCCATTTTTTGGAGAAGTTTCGGGAAGAGGAAGATGTCATCAGGATGGTTAGTTTGCAAGTGAAGTTTCAGTACATGCACAATGCTCTCCTGCATTTTTTCAATGTGTCCTACATTTACAAGACCGGGACGATCTGTTCTCAAAACAAACAAAAGAATACGTGTCATAATTTTGTAATTATTCTTTAAAGTAGGCTACTTTATAGATTCTATATTGTAGGCTACAATGTATATTTACATTATACACCGAGGACAATAAGGCTCAAAATGAATTGTTTTAAAAAAAAGAAAAGAAGGAAAAAAAACCAAAACAGTTTGGCCAAAGTTTTTTCAATGCCCACAGTTATTTGAGGAGAGATTTCATACTACTAAATACAACCCATGCTACAAAAGAAAAAAAACCCACACCACTCTCACCCCAAAAACCAGCAGAAGTATCCCGCCTAGGAATCCAGTTCTATGTTCTGTATGTCCTGATAACAGAATTCAAACAGTAAGGATGGAGAAAAAAAGCATGTGGCTATTTCTAGGGAGTTCTTGAAGTTTGGTAGCAATACAGCAAGACGTAAATAATAGGCTTTCACTCTTGGTTCCCATATGTATATTGCCATAGCACAAGTTATTGACAGGACATAGAGGTGCACCTGTTAAGGGTGTTTCACACTTTCTAGTATATGATCTCATTTTCAGCTACTTACAGTCCTATAATACCTTCACTCTCCAGATCAAACTTCTCTGTAAGAAGTTGGGACAACAGACTAAACATGTTACTTGAAAACTTAAGCTAGTTCCAAGGAGAAGGATAGAGGGGAAAAAAACCAAAAAACAAAAAAACTAAGAACATTTTGCCTGCAGAGAACTCTCTTCACTTGTGAAAACATCAGAACACCAATGTATTGTGCAAAAGTAATTCAAGATTTGATGGAAACGTGCTGTCTAAGCTAGCACATGAAGCTTTTGAAAGTCTACAGATTGTGCCTCTCTTCTTGTAATTGCTGAGGATGCAACTAGGGCAGTGAAACATTCTATGCGTATGGCAGAATGCAGAAAAGGCAGGCGGGAGCAGTTGTTGGAACTTTCTTGATCTTTTATTTCCCTTTTTCAAAATGCTTATGGATAGTTTTTAATTTAATCTTAAATATGAACGTCCTTACTTTCTGGAGGAAAGAAAGGATTACATTTGTGTTCCTTCACTCACAAAGAGTGCAAACAACAGGCATTAAAAAAAATGAAAAACAAAAAAATCCAAACCCCATATCCTTAGGTACTATGAAATAAAAAACAAAAAAATCCAAACCCCATATCCTTTTGTACTATGAAATAGTTTTAAAAAATACCATTAGCTAATTTTTTTTAATTAGCTAAGTAAGCTGTGTTTTTAAAATAGCCTGTGATATTAAAATCAGAACACAGGAAGTGCATCAGAGCTGTGCATTTGTGCAGAATTCATTACATGATGCAATCAGCAACTGTCAAAGATGAGCAAAGCTATAATCTGCGCCTGCCTCCAGTCTCATTACATAGTATTTTTCTGCCCATTTGACAGATACAAATACTGTTTCCAACACAGCCTTAAACATTAAAAAAAAAAATCCTCCAAACCCCAAACAAAAAAACCCCACCAACACTCTTCACATTCCACTTTTAAAAACAGAGAGTAACTAGACCCCTCTCTAAGTGAGGCTAAACAGTAATTCCAAGCACGTCTACGATTCTGCAAAGCAAAATACAGGATCAAGACTGTTAACAGTTACATAGTATCTTCCATGAAACATGCTAAAAAGGAAAATGACACTGTTAGTGGTAGAATCGAATCTTCAAGAAATATATAAGCTTTTCTATTAAAATTATTCATTCACGTGAAGAAAATTTTAAAATTTACTACCTTAAAGAACAAATATGTAGTGCTTACCTCCACAGCAAATGATGGCAGCAACAAAAAGGGATATATCGCTATCATCCAATTCCAGTGCATTGAATTTCATTGCAAAATCAAATTTTGGCTCCATTATATCACAGAATGGCTTTCTCAGGCTTTTCAGGAACTCCCGGGTTATAAAACCGTTTCCATAGGCTACCAGCATCCCGTCCTTGTTCATCACAGATGCTAACATGGCAAATATGGCTTCATAAACTCCGTATTTTAACAGTGTCACTTGATCATTCAAGTCAAGATTGGAGAAGCCAGGGATAGATTTGGCAAATTCAGTAAGTTCTGTGACAGTCTCTACAGATGTACACTGGCAGCAGTGGAAGATTCGAACTTCTGCTTCCTTGTTCTGAATTCCATTGGCTACCAATTTTGCCACCAGGGTCTTCTCTGCCATACACAAGGTATCCATATCATGTATAACAAATGGCTACAGAGAAAAAAAATACTAATTCAGTTACAAAATAATGGTTATTAATTAATCATTCATTTCCTAAAGAATAGGAATTTTGATAAAGTTTAACTTTCATGCTACTCAGTCTTCAACTATCAATAAACCATGAGTTCTTTCATATTTCTGCATAAAGACAAACCATGTATTACAGAACTACAAACTGCGGTATCTGAGAACAAGTCTGCTCTGCAAACAACAATGCAAATAATAAAATGTAAATATGCATGACATATCTTTAATCTAGTTTTATGTAGTAGTTATAGTGAAGATCCAGAAGTACTGTGCTTAGTATGCATATATCCATCTCAGAGCAAGTCCCAGAAGGTTCACAAAAGACTTGTATTACCTTCTCCAGAAGTCCAGGTTACTCTGCCTACACTCCTATTGATTCCTAAACTAACTACACTTGATGCACATCATGATGCTTTCCTGAAGTATCCTAGGGGGAATACAGACAGTCATTTAAATACAGGACAGCGTATTTGTACAAGAACGTGAACCCTGTACTACTCTTGTGTTTTATTATGAGATTTTCATAGACTATGTCCCAGCTGATCTTCCACAGAAATTCAGTTCATCTTTCTAGCTACAGTTAGTGCTGAGTCATCCCTAAATGCAGAATCCCACTAGAATGCCAGACAACACAAAATTTCAGTCTTGATCATGGTCTTTTCCATAACCCCCTTAATTTAAAAAGGTACGTGCATTACAAACTGATGAGCTGGTCTCTTAAAACTTCATATAAAAAAAGCATTCAGACTTTCTTAAGAACAATCAGAACTCAAAAATACTTTGATACATATCTGAAGAGCAGTAATCAAAACAGAGGACAACCCACTAAAGAAAAACAACAAAACCCAATGCTTCCCAGTCTACCAAAGTCATGGCAATTGACCTCGAACATAAATCTAGTTCCATTAATGCTAAGCAAAGCACCTTCCCGGTGCTGTTTCACTCATCTCGGATTAAATATCATGAGGAACACTTGATGTTCTGTTAGAAACTCATAGAATTCACTTATTTCATTTAGAAAACTGTCAAACATGCTAGTTTCCCACAGTTGTCCACTTTTTAAATGCTTATGGCAACTACACATTCCATCTCACTTCAGTACTTAGTTATACAGAACAGAACTTTCTATGTGCATGTGGATATGAGCAAAAAGTGGCAAAGCAATAAACCCACCACATTTCTAAACCCTTTAAAAGATGTAGACTATCTCGTAAATCTTTTTGGAATTTAGCATCATTTCACTAAGCAGAAAATAGGTATGGCCAAGGACTTAGGAGCTAAATTTAAAAACGATACCTTGTCATCATGAAAAATGCTAGTTCATTCTGAAATGAACTATAGTGGTGCCAAGAATCAGGATTCACTGAAATCAGCTGTTAATGCACTGTTCAGAAACAGGTGGATTACAATTACCAACAACAACCCCCCCCCTTTTTTTTTTTCTATTAAAAAGTCAAAATTAAAATGTCTGTTTTCCCAAGAGATGATGAAATAGCTTAGAAAAACCTCTCCTCTTCCTTGCATACTGAAGAATGAGGAAGCAGCCTGTTTATAACGTACTAGGTCTGACTCCTCATTGATTTTTACTTGTAATTTCACCAAGACACGTGTCTGACTCCTCATTGATTTTTACTTGTAAATTCACCAAGACACGCGCAAGCCACTATTAGCTAGTCAATCAGATGACTATAATCTGAGCGCCTTGATCACATAAATGCAGACACAAAAATTAGAATCCCTGCATGTACGATACATATTATGATTCTGACATGGTAACAAGCTCGAGAAGGACTTTATGCAGATACCTACTTGGTAAGGTGTTAAAGCATGGTATTTACTGTAGGCTTATGTCAGCTTGTACCCCCCAAAAAAGTTTAAGCCTGTCCTTAATTTTACACTTCTCTTTAATCCAATGAAAGATTTGGATTATTCGTATGTCTCTCTTTTTATATAGAAGCCTGTATGCTTGGCTAGGCTAGACTATAATATGGCAAATTCCATAATTTAGAAGACAGCTTGCTTACAATTTTTATAACACTCATCCCCACAGTTACATGGTTTTTATTATGGCATATGTAAAACCTCTTCCCTGCAAATTTTTGCTGAAATTAAAATTGTTGGTAAAATAAGATACTTATCTTCTACATATAATTAACATAAATCACAACAGATTTTTAAAAAATTATGCATAAAGTTAAACAAGTCAGTCCTTACAATGGTTATACAATCTCGTGTGCTACAAAACAAAAAGCAGTTGATAGCATTAGGTAGACCTTGGCTAAATTATCCTGAAAGAAAAATAACCTCTACAGCATACATGTCTTCACAACCTTGCTTGCTTCTCCCTTTCAAAGTAACCACACAGTAAAGACCAGGAAGGCCAGGTGAGGAAATGGCCAGAACGGTAAACAAAGAATTACAAACTCAAGTTTTCTTTTCCCTCCTGCCATTAATATTGTTGTGATTAAAACAAAAGTCATACAGAGCTCCTGGATACCCTAAAAGACAACAGTATTTATCCTGGCATTTGTGGCAGAAAAACATTATAATTTTTTTTTTCACTGTCATAATAGGCAATTAGTTTTGAACCATTTCCCACACCCATACCAAGAGGTATTCACATTCAGATGTCACTTTTTTAATTGCTTAAGAACTAATTTTCTTTCCCTTGTGTGTCTACTATAATTTAAGGTTATGAGCTTCCATTTACAAGTTAATCACCTGATTTTCCTAAAGCTTCCTACTATTCTGATAGCGGCTAAAAGCAACCATATTTACTACAGATATTCTTTTTGCATATTTCATGTCTGTTATTAGCATAATATTTATTTTCTAAAAGATTTGCTGAAGAGTTTAATGAATTATTGTAATCACCTTATGTACTTGCCAGCTTTACTTTACAGTTACAGCAAAAGTACTTACTGGATTGTTATTAGTTTTCCCTGCAAGGATGATTCTGGCTTTAACCTTGTTCATATTGAAGTTTTTCAGGTAAGCATCATGAATTCTTTTGGCAAGTGATTTAAGATCTGCCATTTCTGAATCTTCTACATAAAGTAATCACCTTATGTACTTGCCAGCTTTACTTTACAGTTACAGCAAAAGTACTTACTTTGTTGTTATTAGTTTTCCCTGCAAGGATGATTCTGGCTTTAACCTTGTTCATATTGAAGTTTTTCAGGTAAGCATCATGAATTCTTTTGGCAAGTGATTTAAGATCTGCCATTTCTGAATCTTCTACATAATTTTCACCTGTTAGAATTTCTGCTTTCAACTTGGCCTTCTCAGACCTTGGCATTCGTCCAAAACGTATTGCTGATGGGAAGACATAATTGTAAAACAAACATAAGTTATAGAAAAACCTATGTCTTTTACCGTTGCTGATTAGAGCAGTAAGACTTTCTGTCTAGAAAAACTGAGGTAGAGGTAGTATCTGTATCATGATAAACTCATGAGGGAAAAAATCTCATCCTTTCCAAAACAGTCAGTGACTAATTATCAAGACAATATGCTAAACTGAAGGTAATCAGATGTTTCAAAACACAAACTGGTATCTGCAGTGAGCTAGAATGCATGCCTTTTTCCTTTTACATTACCTAAGTAGTCGTATTTTGTTTTCTCCGTATTGTGTTCTACAACTCCCAACGTGAAACTCAAAGTCCACCTTGGGAATTCTAAAAAACTGAGTAAACGCATGTGAGGAGCTTGGCAGAGAGCACACATGCCAGCTGGAGAGCTGCCTGAGGAGTTAGTCCGCAGGCAACACTGCAACAGAGTTGGGCCCGAATCCCATTGCTGATTCTGAACCTGCTGGGACATTCAGTTCTTTATGCACTGAATGTTCAGTTCAATGTATCTGTACTGTCTAGTGAGAACAAAACAGACCAGAGACCCAGATTTATGCTCAAAGGCTATAGTCAACAAAACCTCCTCCTAGACCCAGCATTTTATGCTTCTTTTTTCAATAAATTAGCCCTTCAAGGCTGGAGAGGATGAGAATAGAGTATGAGTATCCAATCTAGTCATTAGGATATTCTTTTGAGAGGCAGGAGATGCGAGTTTGAAACACCACTGGATATGGAGGTCTCCCAGTTCTTGGGCAAGTGGTCCTGCCATTTAGCAATAAAATAGGCATGTCCACATCCTTCTTCAGTTTCAGTTTAAAACTAAAACAGCTCCATTTTAAAAGGGGCCTTACCCTCTGATGTGCAAGGTTTTGAGATGGCTAATATAGCTGGTCACTCTTACCGCATTTCAGCATCTAACCAGTGAGAGGACAGAACCTCACCGCTTAGACTGAGCAATTCAGAGCATGTGCAGAATTAGCCCTTCAACATGCCCAAGGAATTTTCTCATGACATAAGGAGGTGACTCTAAGTGTGATCTGAAATACAGTTTTGGACTTCAATGGAACCCCAACATGGAAGGCCTGTTCAGAATCTGGCCATGGGTCTATTGGAAAAGTGGAAGAGTATCTGCTCTAAACTGAAACTTACAGTTTTAAGGTTGTGGCTGTAAATCTGGTTCTACCTCTTTTGCTGAGAAGTATCACCTGCAAGTTAGCACTCATCTCCTTCCCCCACTGACTCCCATGTGTTTGCTGCAGTAAAATTGCTACTACACCCTTCAGCTGGAGCACAGGTGCCTACAGTGTTTTAGTGGGATGAAACAGCTTCAACCAAATGTTAATTCCTGCCAACCAGCACAGCTCCCTTCTCAACTCCTGCCCCTGAGATGTTACTTTGTTGGCTGGCACACTGTTGGCTGGCACACTCTTCCCAAGTCTGCTGCTTCACAAAGGTGATCACCAGTCTTGTAGAGACTATCAACCCTCTCCCAATGGACCTTAATCTCAGCCAAGGCTCACCACAAGGGAGCCAGACTTCCCCAGAACCAGAAAGTCAACTCTTCCAATGTCTCTTGCTAGGACTCTAGACTACAATGTCATAGGCAGCTTCCCCAACCACATCCCCACCCCAGCTATCTTGACTGCATAGTTTCCTTAGGAAGTTCTTCTAACCCACAGCTTTTCACCTAGCCCAGCATTTCCACCCACTTTTCACCTACTCCCAAATTGCACCTGCTCCCAAGATCAGCCTTGACACTATCAGACCTACTTAGGGAAAGCAAACTACTGTCATCTGGCCAACCAAAATGTGCTTTCTCATGGCTTGGCCTCTCCCTCTTTTCCAAAGTTGCTTAGCAAGCTACATACTGTGCATAAAACTGCCTTGTGGGTTGAAATTGGCCTGTAAGCCACAGGCTTACCAGCCTTATCTTAAATCATTAACACAAACAATAACATAATTTTTAAACTGGATATCTAAATGTTCTGAATTTTTACCATTCCATTTAACAAGCTACCTACCAGATTCTTGTTCCACAGTCAGCACAGATCTTCACCCTCCCCCCACACTCCCTGAACCATCTGCCCAAGAGCTGTTGCACTGTAACCTGAAAAATAATGAAGTCTGGTTTCCTACAGATTTCTATCCTACGTCATTCCCTCCCACAATGAGCTAGTTGTCCTTCTCCTACTCCTCTACAATGCCCTTGATCAGAATTCTTCCAGTATTGAAATCTGTTTCAATGGGAGTAATGGTGCCAAAGTTCTGGGTGAAGAAAGCAACTAAATGAACATTCATATGGACAAACAGACATCCAGCGCAATTGTGTAAAGCTCATAACAGTACATTTGGCAGCTGTCTATCAATTACATTAACTACTCATTAGGGAAACTGGAGTCCCCTGCCACGATCTATACGGTAAAAATCTGAGGTTCAACTCATACGTGTAAGTAAAAACACTATCCAGGTGCCTGCTTCCAGAAGCAGACTCTGGGTAGGAACAAACAAATTATTAAGGGCACTCTTACCTACCATTATGTGACATTCCAACTGAAAGGCACTTTTGAAAACGACAGTATTGGCACTTATTACGATTTTTTTTCTGAATTTTGCAGTTGCGATCACATTTATCATAGATGAGTTTTAAACGAATTGTTCTTCTAAAAAAACCCTATAAAAAGTTTAAGAAAACAATATGAAATGTTAAAGAATGTTGACTGCTAAACTTCAATCATACTGGTAATTTTTTTTTTCTTTTATTGTTTATTGATGTCACTAGCAAAACAATAAGCAAAGCATAACCTGTCCAAAGGTAAGAATCTATGCAGTGAAGTGGTGTGTATGAACGCATGTATAGAATGGAAAACACGAAAGGAAGGAGGAGCTCTCAGCCCTCTTTCTTGGGAGAGGACCAAGAGCCCAGAGTACCTGAGCAGATTTGCTCTTAAGGATTAAGCAAAACAGTCACATATTGCTTTTGTAAGCATTCTCTCAGCGTCCTCTGTCAGAAATAACCTTCATCTTTCATATGTGTAAGTCACACAAACACATAGATTTAACACATCTTTTCTTCATCCAGCAAATGTGAGGGGTATGATAACACAGCACAGTGTATAGGAAAAGCCAAGGACACAAAAATGAGCGTTACAGAAAAGCCTATAACTCAACAGATCTTACCATGGTGTCTTGATACTGCAATGTAAGGTTAGTCTCATACTACGAAATCATAGGGTTAGCAATTTAAAAAGACATTGCCACATTTTGCTTCACATGACATAGCAACATGCCATTTAGACTGTGGGACATAACTGACTATGAATTAGCTCCCCATCTCTAACAGATATTCTAGCATTATTCCTTAAGATTTATATTTGAATTATCATGTTCTGACATTGTGCGTGAAAGAAAAATGTACACATTATACAATATTTTTTCTCACCTGACATAATAATTTAGAAAAAAATGGAAAACTAAAACATTAGAAGGAAAAAGAAAAGAATCTTATAATTCATGGGCCATATAATCCCAAAAATTAGACATTAATGATAACATTAATTTGCCCCAGAGACATGCACTGGGCCCCAAAACCACAGGAGGTTCAATACTAAGTGATTCAGGCAGAATGTGGTGGAGATGAGAAATTCAGGATTTGTTACTGTTATAATGGAAACGTAGCAAACTGGCATGCTTCTCACAGCCATACTCCCAACACAAATAAAACACTAGTGGAGCAAGTAGGCTTTGATTTTTGGTCACAGTTTAGTGTTTTAAGTTGTTTTAGTATTTAACTAACTATATCCAGAAAAGCAGCATTAAAATTATCATTGTGAATTGCCCCTGCTTGATGAAGGTCTGGTATTGAGTTATGGTATCTGAACAATTTATTTCAGAAAAAAATCACAGATATGTTTATTATTTAAATAATTGTAATGACTAGAATTAAAATAATTAAACATTTATGTAACAAATGTTTATCTTCATATAACCCTGTAAATAAAGCAACATGATTTAGGTTCTTAAAAAGAAAATTATGACTGTACCTTACAACCTTCACAAGCATGTACTCCGTAATGGTAGCCTGAGGCTTTATCCCCACAAATTCTACATTCAATGTTTAATGCTCCACTGGGTGATTCATCTATGCTACCTGGAGCTGTGGCAAAATTAATGGATGAAGGACTGGATGCTGGTGAAAGGGTGTCTAAAAGAAAAAGGAACACTTCGTAAATACTATACTGTCAAGATTGATACCATTTCTATACTAAAACCACACAAAAGTGAGCTTATTCTAAAAAATAATTGTGAGTTAACAGTCATTAAGTGAACTAATAATTTGGCCATAAGTGTTTGAAAAATAATTAATATTTATATTGACAGTGCAAACACAAAATACAGGGTGTACCTTGCTAAATTTGATGAGACATACAATGTCAACAAACAAAAAGCCCTACTGAAGTAACTCTGATAACAAGAACTAGAAGGGTGATAATAGTTCTTGAGGATTCAATAAATATTCACCACATAAAATAAGAGAAAACCAAGCTTTTTTTGATTTTCCTGCATTCCGTTTTTTACCTTGGAGTTTTCAAATGTTTCTCAATTTCATGCGAACATGAGATTTTTTTATCCCAAACTGAAAATAAGTAACTAAAAAAACCCTGAATTAATATTTCATTTAAATCAAGGAAATTTTCTTAACCATAAAAATGCACATATACTGTCTTCACAAATAACGTAAATTTGAAACTGAAAAGCAGTATTCAACATGTATCTACTGCTCAAGACAAATAGTACAAAATATAAAAAGAAAAAAACAACACCACAATGAAATTGAACCCCCCATGACTTCAAGTTTGTATCACAATATCCGTTCAACCTGTCAATCGCTCTTTCCAGAAAGGTTATTAACAGCTCATCTTGCCCTTTCTTCTTCCGTCTCTTGTGCAGTAGCGTTGAGCATCAGATCTATTGCTATGGTATGACAAACGACATATTCCTAGCTCATGCTGAGTTACACTTAAGATACCCTTAAGGTCCCCCTGACTTTTGAAGAGCTACTCATAGTTTTAAACTATGATCTAAACTGAGGCCTAAAAAGCAGTTAGACAACTTCTCTTTCTAAAGAGATTTTCTCAAAGTGAAAGCGTGCTCCTGCACATCAGTAGAAAGGCTGAACAGATATTAAAAGGAAGGTAACACAAATGTCTGCTTCTAAGATAACCTAGCAATAGAAGCCTTGCTCAGATATTTTACATTTTGATTATAATGGGAAAAGCATTTCTGAATTGTTGTACAATGAAATACACTCTCCAGACATTTTACTACTAGATGAACATGTTACAAAACTAACACATTCCAACCTCAATTATTTCAATTAATATGTCCACCTTGTTTGAGGAAAATATTTTCTGAGGCCAGAATTTCTTTTATCTTCCATCTTGCAACTTGCACCACAAGACTTTAGCAAATTAATGGGTGTGTTATTTTAACAGAAAGATTAAGAAACACTCATGAATGTAGGTCAGCAAGTATTATGTTGGAAAAAACCTTGGCATAGAACTCAGAGTCTGCATTGCCAGCACTGCCAAGCCCACAGGCATCAGTCATCAAGAACAGCCTAAAACCCAGGATTTTTTTAAAGCATTATTTTCTTTCTTTTTACTTGCTTTATGGAATTTGAGCCTTGAAAGTTTACGTTTTCCATCTTCTCTAACAGCAAAACTAGAATGTTTTGCAATGAACACTGAATACTCAAATTAGAAGGTGACACTAGAAGCTGATCTAAGTTATTGTAGGACTTGTACACACACACACAGAAATAATTAAAAAAACTCATGTCTCAGAAGGACTACGTTATAAACCCAGCACATAATGACTTTTCCTGTAGAAGGCATCTCTCTAATGTGAAGGTCTGCAACAAAAAGGAACCCAAATCATATTTCTACAAACATTCCTTTGGGCAATTGTGCCAAGAGGCAGCTCTCCCTTCTCCCTTCAAAACTCACATGATTCATTTCAACCACTTTAGCATAGAGGCACACCTCAGTTATGTTAGTGCAGTTTTTGTAAGGTAAAATAGTGATCACAGCCTGGGAATCGATTTAAAGTAAGAAACCCCCAAAACAAAACCAACCAGAAAGTTAATCATAAACTGCTTAAAACGGCTCTACTACTAAAAGATTTGTAAAACCACGGGTTCAAAAGGAATACCTTACTGACATTATTGCAGTGTCCCATACCACTTCTACGATTTCCGATTTGATCTCTCAAACAAAGCCTCTCACAAAGGTCTTTGACTAAAGACTATGTAATGTATTAGCACTCTGAGACTGTTACTTTAACCAGGGTAGAAGTCATTAGCTGAACAATGCTACTCTTGAGATGGGGGAGAAAACAGCATGTTCAAAACATCAGTACACTAAAATATACTGGAATTCTAGGTGAGTTTTTAAGGGTTAGATTATAAATTTCTGGCAAACATTTCACAATACTTTTTAAATATATGTGATTTGAAGAAACTTTAAAAAATAGGGAATTCCTTTAGTGCAATATTGTGACTTCCTATATGACTACAATACGTAGTAACTTCTTTGCTAGTAACAGCGATTTTTAAAAGTTATTTTGAAAAAGGTGTTGATACTAATGATAATTTAAAACAGCAACTTTACGTTATAGTCATTTTTCAGTGACATTTTTCAGTCTAATAAATTAACTTTAGCCTTAAATATTTTAAGACCATGCTATAATTAGCTTATATATTTCTCGTGTCACTTAGTCATAAACAACAATATTGCATTAAAAAAGTTTTTAGTTTCTATCACTATGTATTTATAAAAGAAAGTTCTGTGGTAAACCAAAAGTCTCTTACCTGTTATAACTGATCCATCAGATCCTGGACCATTTCCCAGTGACTGGAACTCTGTTAAACTTAGAGCTCCAGAGCTGTCATCACCTAGAGACTGAGAGAGGTCTTGAATGTTCTCCATATCTTGTAGGAACTCTCCAGATAAAGGGCTGCCTATATCATCCTCCTCCAAGGGAGTAAGGGGATAGAGCTGGTTTTCAGTGTCCACCATTTTGATCAAGTAGAGCAGTCACTTAAACTTCTTTGCGCTGGTGAAAGAGTAATTTTAAAAAATCCTGTACTTACAATATCAGATTTTTTTTTTTAAATATTTGAATCAATTACAGTACACTGAATACATGAGTTCTAATCCAATAGTGAAATATTAAAGCTTCTGGAGCAAGAGAATGTTGTTTATGCAACATGAATCATCAACAGGACAGCGGAAAAAAAATCCCCAAAATACTTCAATATGAATTAAAGTTATGACAAGATCAATCTGCAGATTGTTGTTTTCTCTCCTTTGCTAATAAAAGTTACATATTGTGTTTCTATAGCAGGCATTATGCACTTCCCACCAAAATGTACAGAAAAATAACAAATATCAATATGCATACATATTATGTTTGAGCAATCTTTTCTCACCTTATCTAACAGGTTTAGATATGTTGATTTGGTCCTCTGTTCTCATCTCTTAAATTTGTTCGATAGGTCTTATGACACTGCAGAGAACAAAATACTGTCTTATACTAAAATCTTTGTAGAAGTGGGCCATACTAATACTTTTTGACCTACTTCGGTCAAAGAACACCTTCAGCAAGAGTGCTCCAGCATATACAATCCAATATACCTGTAATTCCTAGAGTTAGTTTTATTTCCTACAGTGAAATAAGTTTTTAAAGTTGCCTTCAAAACTAGCCACCTGTGTCATCAACTTTGAGTAACAGCACAGATTCCTAAGAAAATGTCACAAATTTCAATTCTTCTTCTATTGACTTGTCAGGTAAGGAATTAGTAAATGTACTGCAGAATGTTACTACTGCTGCTAGATACACTTCTGCTAAAAGAAAGTCATCTTTTATACCAAGTAACTAATACTTGCGTTATACTCAGTATGCATACAAACACATACTGCTGCAGTCTTGTCCATGCAATGAATATGCACGGGCAGTTTGAGAAGCTCTCACTGTTACTGTGGTTACCGCTCAGCGCTGGCCTTTGCAAAGAACACGTGTTCACTGCAGTTTATTGTGAAGCTTGAACCTGCCAATAACTGCCTATACGGCGATAAACAAAAGTTGATTTTACAATAAAAGTGCTATGTTATGATTAAAAAAAAAAAAAAAAATCTTCCTTGATGTTATTTCAAGTTTCAAATACCAACCAGTTTGATTCCTATGACACTAAACATTTTATATTAAGAAATCAATCCTTTTCTTTGATATTCTGTGACAGATTCATCCTATGAAAATCAAGCATTTATTCTGGAGAAAAGACGTATTTTTTTGGCTATGTAATTGACCAAAAGGGTACAGTTAAAAGTAATACAAAGTGCTGACTACTGCTTTACTAATGACAAAAGACAGCCATCCTTGTATTCAGTTATATAAAAAAACCTTCAAAATGTTTTGAAGCAAGATATCTACAATCAAGTCTTTTATCCCCAGGCTGATGGCAAAAGTCTGCCTTCAATTATATTTGCATAACTTTACACGGTATTACACAGATGTAACTGAGGGCAGAATGACCTACTCTAAAGAAGACTAAAGGTTATGCTTGTAACAATCCACAGTGCGCACACAGTTTTTAAATTATTTATTTTTCAAGTGCACTTAGTGCACATTCCTACTTCTTTCTGCTATTTCATGGAAAACCAATGGTGCATATATATCACTCCTGTAGTGTGTTCCAATGTGTTCATTACATGACTGTAAGGCAAAACAAACAATTTAAAATGAAAATCTGTATTACATAAGGCTTTCTATTCCACAGTTTGCATCCTTCCAGCTTATCAATGTTATTTAAAGTATATACATCAGACTTGGCAAAACTTTCCTTTGATCTTCAGAGTACCCAAATTTTTTGATTGTGATACCACATGGCTGTAGTGGTACATCCTATGTACCCATTATTCATTTTTAGCCAAGTGAATATACATAAAAATGTTAACCCCCTCAGGTACAAGGAGAGATTGAAATTGTAGTGTAATCATAAACTCTGATGATTAGAACAAAACAAAGTGTTTTATATACCCTTGCGCAATTTATTACAGCTCTGTGCATCATTGTACGTGTTTTTGAAAGAAACTATGCTGAGGCTAAAAAAAGAGTTTACTTAAACAGTAAACTTCTCTTTCCTGCAATTCATGAAAATAATAGTTATAGTATTTAGCTTGTGGCACATTTTTTCCAACCCAAATACCATTGTAGAGCAAAGATACAGGTTTTTTTTTCCCCAGTGTAATAGCTTACCACATACCTGTAAGGACAGAACTAAAGGAGTAGCAGACACACACACACATAGCAAAATCCAGTGCTTCTACTCAGTTTACTCAGTTCACACGCTAAAATTGAGTTCTTTATCAAATCAAACACTAAAAATTTCAGGATCTGTCCAGCATAACTGAGACGGCAGAGTTTTCAGAAGGTTCATTGTATTTTGACTATTAAAATTAAGCCAAATACAACAGACAGTTCTGAAGACTGAAAGGAATCACAAATTATAAGAATCCTATCTCTAAATATCTGATGTTATAAACCAAACAAGACAGAATTCCACTCTCCCTTCTTGAGTAGGAAAAAAACCCAGATGCTGCCACTATTACTAACTTCCCATCTCGTACTACAAGGACCCTTAGTAAAGATCTATTTGCCCAGTTTCTTCAAAACAGGATAGTTTTAACTAGAAAAGGAAAGTGTGTTCTATATCACATGGGGTAGCAAATAAGAATATCTAGGAGACTAAGAATGGGAATTTATCCACGATTTCTGACACCAGCTACAGACAACAGGTATGTTACTGTTGGTTTTACTTGGACATGTCACATTGCTACTCTATCGCTATGCAACGCTTGGCTGTATTTAAAAATAACAGTCAAATTAAGTTATCCAATTTGATATATTAAATACTCATTAGGACATTGTGCCAGATTGTCAGCACTGTAGCAGAATATTTATAAGCAATGTAAGAGTTTTCATGCACATCTCAACTTCTTTCTGAAGGGATCAGTTAAAAGGCTGGTGCAGCTTTTATTTTAAGAGCATCCAAGCAACGCTGATTGTGATACCCAATTATTTTACAGTGTAACAGAAAAATGTATGTTGGAAAAGTGAAACAAAATAACTTCTTTCACATAGAGGACTGAAGTGTAATTGCTATCAGTTATAGTCCCCACAGAATTTCCATAATCTGAAGCTATTTAGTAAAAGAAATTCCAATTGTCACTTTCTTTTAAAGCTCAACAGTTGTCCTGTCTCCAAGAACAACCTTCGTTCCTCTATAAATCCTACCAGCTTGTAACCTGACAAAATATTAAGAAATATCTGCATTTGATAATCAGAAGCCTGTCAGAAGACATAAAATAGAAATTAAAATGATTGTAACATAGATGACCATAGTTACTGAAGAAAAAAAAATTCAGAAATTATATGCATGAGGACTCCAAATAAAAGACTACTTAAAAAAAAATTAAAATAATTAGCCTAATGCTTTAGGAATGTATGGTCACACACCAAAGGAAAATGGCACACATTATTGTAGATTATCTGACAAACATTTTATTGCTAAACCATCTGCATGTATTCAGAACAATGCTTCCAATCTCATGAAGAGTCAAGATGCAGAGTAATTTTGCAGATGCAGAGTGCCTTACAAAACATTACTTTCACAAACTATGAAAGGCAAAGAATCAGCTGCAAACATTTCTGGTTAACATCATCTGTTATTCTCTGCCAATACTTTCAATCTTGAATAACTTTCTACAATTTCTCTGTTGAGGCAGCATGAGCCAGCTCAATAACACCTGGAACTAACTGCTGTTTGCTGTTAGTTATCTAACAGAGTCCAAAACATTACATTATGCACCTGATATCCCTGATAGAACTGGAAGATAATATACTCCAGCTGAGAAATAAGAAATCACTTTTATGTATTTTATTTGTGAAAATGAAGTTAAATTGCTATCCCTGTGACATGGCTATTTTGTGGTGAGGGAAAAGAGTAAAGAAACCTTGATGTAAGTTGTTTTTGTAATGATAGCCGAGAATAACAACAGCGGTTCTCCGGCAATCCAAAAGAGACTACCAAATTTGTCTCCCCCTAAGGAGCCATCAACACAAAAGGAAGAAAGGAATGATCAGCACTGCTCCTCCAGTGTGCTCTTCATGAAGTTCTCCCAGGCTAAAACAGTTGTTCACAGCACAGAAACATTATATTCCTCTGCAGATATGTAGCAAGAGTACTCTGCCCCAGGATAGCTGGGGAGGTTCCAGGAGGCATTAGGCTCCTTGTACCCAATGTTACTTCAACTTCCCTACTAAATAACGTACATCTCTCCAAGTATGACTTCTTCGTTCAGCACAAGTATTTTTAAAAGATTAAGTGAACACTGAAGTCTACCTTGAAACAAAATAGGTATTATTTGACAGGAAAACAAAGGAAAGGCTTGATAGCTGAACTCTGAACATGGCAACAGCTCTTTCAGCAGCGTGCCTGGTATTGCCCAAATTGCACCATACTTTTCCACATTTACAGTAAATATTTAAAATTCAGCAGTCTTTTTAGCTGAATTTATATAAGAACAACCTAACAGCTAGTAAAACATAAATGAAGTGTTTATTGTTTTAACTATTAAATTACATACCCTTTTGTACTTTCAAACACTACTAGTAAATTACAGCTGCTTAATCATTATGGCTCTTGTCAATGATTAACTGGCTATCTTAGCAAGCATAGCCATTACATAACCATTTCTGAAGACTGTCAAAATATACTAATATATTTTCATTACTGAAAAAATTATATTTTTTTTTCTCATAAGCACAGAAAACCTTTAAGTAAAATGTCTAGTATTCATGCAATAAACCATTTGCCTTCTGTCTTCTCTGTATTTTGTGCATGTTTACACATGTGTATGCTTTCATTGGCAGGTTTCACCTAGCATGCATTGATCCTTGTTTGTATGAAAATAAAGCATCTAAAATAAAAAGGGTAATGAGTATGAAGTTCATTTAAGTAGTATTCACAGAGAGTATTTTGCTTTACCAAAAAAAGCTGCACATGTTACAAGAGTATACGTGGTAGCTGCAGCGTGATGATTCCACTCAAGCATCTGCATAAGTCAACATTTCTTCTTACTCTTAAGACTTTAGGAAAATTCTGTGCCACAAAGACATTGGCAGAGGATTTTCTCAGTTTCCCATACAATATTTCAGTCTCCATACCCCCTTTCCTACACCCACATACAAACACACACACAAAGTAAACCGAAAATAAGAGAGTATGACATAGAAAAATAAGAACACAATTTCACGAAATCATGGTTTTAAGGATAAACAAGTTTTACTGATGCTCTCTCACAGCCTGTTATCTCTGAAATATGTCTATCTTCAGAAGAAGTCCTCCTTTCCCACCACCACACTGCAAACACCCAATGAGTAACTTACCTATAAACTTCAAACGGGTCTAAAAGAAATCATAGTCAGATTATCAAAGAAAAATACCT